AATTAAAAAAATTGTATCGTTAAGATCAATATGCAGTCAGAAAGTTTTATAATTACTATTTATTGTAAATTTATCAGAAAAGCTCAATATTTTTTTCATTTTTATCGTAATAGATAACTTAAATAGAAGTAATAATAATAATTTCCTAGTAACTTTGATTGTTTGATAAGAATCTACAATTGAAATATTAAGAACTTAATTAATTTTAATGATTTAATTTAACTAAATGAACCAATCAAAACAAAGTTAAAAAGATTTACTCAATTGAGCATATTATAAAATTTGATTATAATTGTAAAAATCCATTATTAATTCAGAAGAAAAAACAATCATTTTTTTTAGAAATGATTTATATAGCAACATGTTACAAAAAAATTTGTAATATTATAGTCTAGTAGTAGCACACACAAATAGAGTAAACAAATTATTAAATTACAAAGTAAAATTATTTAATTTTGTAGTTGAAACCTATCATATCAAACTTCATTCGTTAATAAATATTTTGAAAACATTAGAAATTAATGATTTTAATTGTCTTTATGGAGACGATGTAATAACTAACTGNTAATTGTCTTTATGGAGAACATGTAATAACTAACTGTTTAATTGATAAATTAGAATATTTTTTTCAATTTTTGAGAGTAATATCTTCAAGTAGATACGAATTGTAGTCATTTGACGTATCGTTGAAAAAAGTAGGTCAAGTTAGAGCAGAGAAAATAAATGATAGTCACAAAAAAATATCTTTTCAACTTTGCATCAAAGCTAAAACTTTAAATATAGTAAAATAATTTTAACACGAATAAGAAATTTCTTCTTGCAAGGGGCGACTAAAGTGATGGGATCCTTGATCTTTATTGAAGTTATTGAATCTAAATGTGATAAAAATCAAACGAGTTAAAATTTATACTAACTTAAAAAGAATTAAGAAAAAATGCAAAAAATTCATTGCCATACGCGGGTTGGAACCTCGTACCCCAAGCGTGTAAAACATAATTTTCCCAACACGGCAACCGTATGTCGTTACCATAAATAGAAAAAATGGGCTATTTAAGCTAGTTCAAATTTCAAAGTTATTTTTCTCGACTTAAAAGAAACAAACATATTTAAATAAGTTTAACTATCTATACTATATCAATTTTAATTTATATAATATTTATGAAAATCTGTACTCCCCTTGTCAGGTATTTTAAAATAAAATAAAATACAAAANATATAATATTTACGAAAATTTGTACTCCCCTTGTCAGGTATTTTAAAATAAAATGAAATACAAAACCCAGAATTTTAACACAAAAATAGCATATTTTTGAATATGGTAGTCATTTTTACTATGAAGACAAATCCAGTGGTTAAATTTTTTTTTTTCAAATTAAAGTATATTATATAAGCTTTAATTTAAGATATATATAAAAGTATCAGTATTTCCGGAATACTTTCAAAAATTAAATTGAAAATATCTTAGTAACAATACGCATGTTTAAAGTTTTGACCCCCCTTGTTAAAGGGGTATGATCCGATTTACAAAAAAAGCGTGCCAGATGAAAGGGGTATATCAATATTTATTATAAAAAAATAATAATATAGATCCATACATTTTTCCAAAAGTTATATAAAATATAAATTAAATAATATAACATATAAAATCGAGATTTTTTTCACGGAAATCGTACGTTTTTCTTTAACTTTGATGTCCGTTTTCACCACGAAGACAAGTCCAGAGGTCAAAATTTTTTTATTCAAATTAAAGTATATTACATAAGCTTTAATTTAAGATATATATAAAAGTGTCAGTATTTCTGGAAGACTTTCAGAAATTAAGTTGAAAAAGTTCTACTTTCTATTCGCATTTTAAAAGGTTTGCACCCCCACTGTATAAAGGGAAAAGGTACGATTTAAAAAAAAAGTATGTCGAATGAAAGAGGTATATATAAAGTATTTATTATCAAAAAATACAATTGATTCATGCATTTTTTAAAAAGTTATAGCATCATAATATTGAAAAATGTAAAACATAAGTTCAAGAATTTTTTCAAAAAAATAGCATATTTTTGCATACGGTAGTCATTTTTACCATGAAGACAAATCCAGAGGTCAAATTTTTTTTTTTCAAATTAAAGTATATTACATAAGCTTTAATTTAAGATATATACAAAAGTGTCAGTCTTTCCGGAACATTTTCAAAAGTTAATTTTTTGTAAAGAAGTTACCAATACGCATTTTAAAAGGTTTGCACCCCCCCTGTATAAAGGGAAATGGTCCGATTTTAAAAAAAAGTATGTCGAATGAAAGAAGTATATATAAAGTATTTATCATTAAAGAATAAAGTTGATTCATGCATTTTTTAAAAAGTTATAGCAACATAATGTTAAAAAATGTAAAATATAATATCAAGAATTTTTTCAAAAAAATAGCATATTTTTGCATACGGTAGTCATTTTTACCATGAAGACAAATCCAGAGGTCAAATTTTTTTTTTTCAAATTAAAGTATATTACATTAGCTTTAATTTAAGATATATACAAAAGTGTCAGTCTTTCCGGAACATTTTCAAAAGTTAATTTTTTGTAAAGAAGTTACCATTTTGAAAACCTTCCTGTGGGCTTGTCAAGGGTCAAATGTTAACAAAAATATATAAAATGATAGGTGAATACCTAAGGTATCTATAATAAAAAAAACAATTATATTGATTCGGTAATTTTTAAAAAAGTTATGGCAATTTTAAGTTAAAAAAATTGAAAAAATATCGAAAATTAACGATTTTTTAATTTGTAATTTTTTGGGGGATTTCCCTCGTTTACGGGGAACGAGGGAATTTTTTTCAATTTTTGAGGGTAATGTCTTNTTTTACGGGGAACGAGGAATTTTTTTCAAATTTTGAGGGTAATGTCTTCAACTAGATACGATTTGTGATCTTTTGACATATTTTTCATAAAAATCGGTTCAGTGAGAGCTAAGATTGAGCGTATACAGACACAAAAAAAAAAACACATCATAGTAAAATTAATACCATCTCAGCTTCGCATCGAAGCTAAAAATTATATTGATTTGTTAATTTTTATGAAAATTATAGCAGTTATAAGTAAAAAAAAATTGAAAAATTTTCGAAAATTAGCGTTTTTTAAATTTGTAATTTTTTTGGAGGTTTCCCCCATTTACGGGGAATGAAAAATTTTTTTTCAATTTTTGTGGATAATGTCTTCGACTAGATACGATTTTTGATCTTTTGACGTATCGTTGAAAGAAATCCGTTCGGTGAGAGCTGAGAAAAAGTGGTAACAAACACAAAAAAAAACTACATCATAGTAAAACCAATACCTTCTCAGTTTCGCATCGAAGCTAAAAAGGTTAGTAGGGTGGCAGAATTCTTAATTGCGACTCTCACATTATAGGTTCCTTAATTATGTAAGATAATATTTTATCACTAATTTATAAATGATATTAATTTTTGCATGGACCTTATAGTCCTGTAAAGTCAGTGACTTTTTAATGTCAAATTTTTTTATATACACTGTGTAATACTTTATTAATGAATTAATTAAAATACTTTTGAACAACTAAGAATAAGTTTTAATTTATAAAATATATTGAATTCGAAAATTTTAATCCTAATTTACTTTACTTCAATTCATTTTTAACTATTTAACTAGTTAATTTCAAGGTTTTTTAATTACGTTATATAATATTGTTCCTAATGACATTATAATTTGAAACTTATAACAGAAAACATGTTACATAAAGTGCGTTACAAACCTATAACTCGTGACGAGTGGCAGCTTTCTAGGAAAGTTATAACCCCAAGTGGTTTAGATGGTCAATAAATACTTAGGCAGTTTTTTAGCTTAGGTTTTGAAATATTTCTTGCACTTCTACAAGCAGAGCTAAATCCAATTGTTTCCAACCTTTGCAACATATTTAAAATACACTTAGCCTTCAGTTATTAACAGGAAAAGCTGGTATAAAGTCAAGGTGATATTTATACCTAAACCTAACTGTGTTAACTAATATGAAGCAAAATTCTACTGACCAATAAGTCTTACTTCATTTCTACTTAAGACTATGAAGAAACTTCTTGTGTATATCAAAGAGGGGTCATTAAAGGAGAAGCTACTACATAAGAATCAACATGCACACCAAACAGGGAATCTATTAACACAGCTCTACATAATTTAATATACAAAGCAAGGAAAGCGATAAAGAATAAAATGTATGTAATAAATATACTGTTGGACATTGAAAGGGCTCTTAATAACATACACTTTAATTCTGTGTGAATCTATGAAGTACGCACAATTGGCCTACTTACCTTAATATATAGGCAGTTCTCGACCATCTTCTTAATAACTAAAATTAAAACTTGATTCAATTTATATTGCGGTCTAAACTCTTCAAATACAATCTAACTAGGATGTTCAAAGAAAACTAAAATTAATAACGGAGTAATTTTGACAACATAAATTTAATTAATTCGTAAAAAGATAGTAACAATTTAGAACAATAAATATCCAACACAAATATAACATATTTTATACAAGTGTGTGTTTCTAAAAATTTCTTAAATATAAAATATTCATAATGAAACACATTTTATCTTAAATTTTACATAAGTGATCACTATACTTAGATAAAGTAAAACATAATAATAAAAACAAATACTTTACAAAATCAAACATAAATTTAGAATTACTTTAAGTTTTAGTATGAATACTTTACTTCAAATTTAAAATATACAATTTATACAACTTATAATACTTGGTAATTTATATTATCATTTATGAAACAGTGTAAAACAATTAAAGCAGCTTCAATAAATTATTACTGTAAAATGGGTGATATTAGTTTTATTAAATACTTAAAGTATTTAATAAAATTATTTCTTTAATAAAAAAATAGTAATATTTAATTTTATTATTTGAGATTAAATTTAAAAAGAACCAATAAGAAAATTAGTATAAATTATTGAATGAACAATGTGGTTACAAAAATATCAAAAATAAAAAATTCACTAAATAAAAGATCAACAATGGCTATAGTACATTATTTATGCTATAAAAGAATGATTTATTGATAAAATAGATTAAAGTAAGTTTTGTTATAACTAATTTAGGAAGAAAATACGAATTAGTATTATAAAATAGTATAAGTAGTTATAAAATTATTGTGCTAATATTTTTTACAAGCACAAACACTTATTTTCTATGATACATTTAGAAATTTTAGTACATTATATAGATAAAATTAATAATGATATTAAAATTATAATAATTGCAATAAAAAAAAAAAAAAAATGGGAGATTTTCATTATTATTTTTATGATATTTATCCTTATGAAAACTAATTACATAACTTATCAAAACTTGTTTATAAAAGTTAACTATGAATGTAATTCTAAGATTGTGTTTGATAAAGTGAGATCATAATACACCTACATTACTATCAGGAAACATAACCACAATAACAAATAATTCTACATAAGTAAATTAATATTAAAAATGAATATTTAAGACTTAATTATGTGTATAGGTTTAAATTATAAAAAATGAAATTGCATCTAATTAACTATTGTAAATAATTATTATTGACATTTGTTAAGTTCACAATATCTATTTGAACTTAAAATAGCTAAAATAAAAAATAGATTTTTTTTTATATAAAATATTATATTTGCTCTGTGTTAATGTAATAGTATAATTGATTGGACTATGAATTTTAAGTATTATATTTTATCCAAGTTAGTAGTAACTCATTTTTTTGACCTAAAAATAAATAGAATATTAGAAAATAAATAATATTTAATAAATAAAACTCATTAACTTGAACTAAAGTCAAATATAAACTCTTTGAAAGAATTACTATTTACCTTTTAATCTGTTTTTTATCAATTTAGTTTTACTGATTTCATATCTTTTCAAGTAGATGGTGATCAACATTTTTCTTTAGTGGTCGATTTTTTGTGACAGTTACTAACTTTTCAAATTTAATACAATCATTTAGATATAATTCTGGTTCAAAATTTATATTCGTGTCTAAAAAAAAAAGAAAATAATTATCACAAAATTACTTAAATATATTGATATAATTTAACAAATAAACCTGGTATTTAAAAATTTGAAGCATCTAAAAAATAAACATAAATATTTAAATAATTACATGATAATCGACAAATAAATTTTTTATAAAATAAAATAAATAATTAAAATAATAACAATAATTATAAAACGATAAACTTAAGATACCAAAATATAAATAAATTTATTAAGTTCATAATTACACAAAAACAAAAAAGTAATATGTTCATTTAAAATGTATTTAAAAAATGCATGCAGGAAATAATTAGAAAATGTACACACAAATTCAGGTCCATTTTTAGAGGGTTCTAATGTGAGTAATCATCTTCTAAAATACTAAGTGTATTTCAATAATTTTCAATATTTAATTTTACTTTATATAATATTTTTGTTGATCTAGCGAAAATTTGTTAAAAATATATACTAATAATATTGAACAAGCAGCATGCATATTCATAACTTATTATGAAACTAAAATTATACCTAATATGATCTTTTGAACTTTTGTCAACACTGCTGGTTTGATACTTCAATGTTAAATTTAAAAAAAATTATTTCTTACTTAATTAAAATTAAACAAATTAATATAAGCAAAAAAGGAAATGTTGGACAAATGCAAATTTCTATTGATCACTTGAGTAAAAAAAATATATATTGAGCACTTCTCAAAATTACACAAAATTACTTTTGCATATTATTTTTAATATAATACATACAGGACTTCATAAATATATATATATTTCTTTTATTTTATTATCAAGAAAACCTATTGAACTACTAATTTAAGTTGTATCTATTAATTAGGTACATTAATGATCAAATTAATGGTTATTCACAATCAAAATTAATTCGTATAATTTTTAGATTTAATTCATTAAGGTTTGCAAAGGAAAAATTTTTTCCCTTCATTGTGAACCCAAATTGAGTATTTTTTAAGTTTTTCAAGGATCATATCTAGAGCCAAGTCAAGAATCAGCCACCAAATAATTCATAGAATTTATTTGTGTTTTATAAACAGATATATACATTTTTTTTGTAGACCTGTATAATTTAATATTTAACTTTGGATTGTTATTATATTAATTTTATTTTCGTTTTGAAATTTTATTAAAAACTTTTTTACAGGATGTTAGTTTAACTATTGCTTACAAAATATCTATATAAGTATAAAGCATAATACAATTTTTTCTTTTTAGAAGTAAATATTATCCTACATTTTATAGTTTTCAAAAAATTGTTTGTCTTATTTGTTTTTATTCCCCCTTAAATTTATAACTAGAGTTTTAAAATGGAAACACATATGTTTAATCAGATAAAAAATAAGAAAATTATGTAATTAAGAAATTGATCACTCACTAATAACTTTTAAATTAGTATTTTGAAAGATATTAAAACTTTAATATAAAGACATGGGTAAAGCACAAGCTTGTTTATTTTTATTAATGAGCTACACTACTCCTCTATTACTGATATAAAAATTCTAATGTCTTTTAAAACACTGGTTTAAAAGTTATAAATCATTCATAACAAGGAAAGCGACCTAGAGAAACTAGATAACAATTTTTTTTTCATTAATTATAATTGAGCACTGATTCTATATTGATCAAAGTAAAAATGCATACTTAACTCTATGTTTTTTTTTTAAATAAATACAAATCATTATTCTTACCAAGAGTTATATATGATGATTTGATTGATGCAATTTCGTCTTTTAGTTTATAAAATATTAAGTTAATATAAAAATGTAATTAAGTTATAGTTAAAAAAAATATACTGTACATAAAAATTATGTTAAGTAAAAAATTTAAATGATTAATTGAAATTATCTTAAGTTATTTTATTTGTATATTTAATTTAAAAATTGTATTATTCATGTATTAACTCTGTAAATAAGTAAATAAAGATTTTTTTCTTTAGCATTTATAAATTAATACTTACATATTTATTGTTTTATTAAGTATACTGATAACAAATAATTCAATTAAGTTATATATTTTTATAGATATATACATAATTATCTTTGAAACAATGTATTGAGAGTAGATCTTCTATGAAACAAGTCCTTTAATTGTTGAAATCCAAGATGTCTAGTTGTAAATGTTTGGTAAATTAATTTAAAATATTATTCATAAAATGAAATTTAAAATCATTACAACTTTGAATAGAAAAAAATTGTTTAAGTTATAATTTTATCATAACTTTGAATAATAAATAAGGTACAAATAAAATTGATAAAAAAGTGTTGTTAAAATACTTTTCATTTAGAGAAATAATTAGTTATTTTTAATAAAGTATTACTCATATGCTAGAAGACTTACCAAAGAGCACTAAGTAAGTTATCACAGCTTATTAAAAAATAAATAAAAATCACAGATTAATGTATAAAATAAGTTGTTTATAATAACCCAATAATAATAGTTAAATTGGGAATATTAAATTTTTAAAAAAAAGTAAAGAAAAATGTTTTGTCAAAACAAAAACGGTCAAAGTTTTCCTTTCCTTTTTTTATCTTTTTTTTTATCATCTTTTTTTTTTCTACTTCTTCCTATATGAATACTATCTAACATTTGATGTTTTGATTTAGTTACTGAAGTAAATTCTTTAATGTTATCATTTGATAATTGTTCATTTGTCTCATTAACAGAGCTATTGTATCTATTACGATTTGAGATCATTAATAAATTATGAGCTGCATTAACAGCTTCTAAACTGTCATCTAGCAAAGTATGTTCAGGAACTGCTGTAGCCATTGTTTCAACCAATGATGGAATACTACAATCAGATAACGATGGTGAATTAGATATTGGATTTGCAGATAAATTTGATGAACAAAATGGTACAGAGTTATCTAATGGAATACTTTCTGGTGAACAAAAATAAGAAATAGTAGTAGGACTTTCAAATTCAGAATTAGGAACTTGAAGATATGTTTGAAAAATCTCATCATTATTCATTCTATTGTAATAAGGTATATCGTTTGTTTTTATTTTAGAATTAATTAATGAGCACGATTCTGTAATTAATTGATTAGATGAATCATTTATAAATGTATGATTTAAATTAGTGAATTTACTTGTGAAGGATTTACAGTGTGCATTAGTTATATCTATTTCATTTTTGATTGAAAAATCACTGTTACTATCAGTATTTTTCAACAGCTGATAAGACGGAATGATTAAATTTTCTGAAAAATACTTTTGAGATTTATTTGACGTGTGTTTTATTTGAATGTTTTGTAAGGTACTTTGTTCATATAATGTACTTTCCATCTTATTATAACTATGTGAAGTACTAGGCAAATTAAAGTCATTAGATTGATAGGATTTTGGCAACGTTTCTATAACATATTGATATGAAGTTTCACAAGATTTTCCATTAAAATATTTATGTGCAGAGTTCAAAAACTCTTTACTGGGATATGGTAATGTTTCATCAGAATCACTATCTGGATAACTTTCACATAATCTTTGTAATGTTTTAATATTCACATTACTATCTGATTTAAATTTAAATATTATAGTAAATGCAAATTTAAAATGTTTAATATGATTATTCATGTCATCAATCATTTGATATATAGATTGTTTTGCCACTGCTTCTGTACTAAAGCGATTTACTAAGCATTTTTTCCAATTTAATGTTAATTGTTCATTTTTCTTAGAGCTTTTAGCAATATCAGGTTCTTTTTCATCGACATACTTCAATAACATAACTTGATTTTGATTCAATTTGGAATCAAAATCATTACATATTGAACAAAAACATCTTTTTTCAAGCTGCTCTAATGCTGGTATCTTGGGTAATTTTTTAGGTTTTGAAGTTAGTAGCTGTTTGAATTTGTACTGAATATTGAAACGAAAATCATCAAAAGGCACTGTAAATTCATGCCGCAATCGTTCTGCTGTTGATGGTGTCACACGATAATGATGATTATTAGTACATTGAGAGTACATACACAAAAATAACTTACCACGGTTAAATAAATATAGAGTTCCTTCATATGGGCTGGGAAAACTTGGGCTATTTCGTGAATCTATAGTTCCTTCATCACTTAGATTGGATGTTTGATTTTCATCATTTATGATTTTAAGACTTTTTTCATTATTTTGTAAACTAAAGTCTATAGTTTCTTCAATCATTAATTTATTCGATGGATTTTCATCATAAGAATCAGAATTTGATACCAAAGATGGTGAAAGATCAGTCACCATAATACTATTTACATCTGGAAATTGTTCATTGGATTGGTATAAAATGGCATTTGATTGATTTCCGTCATAAAAAGATGAACTTATATTCTTGTTTAAATCACAACGAACTATATTTTGAAATGATATATTTTGTGTTTCATTATTTGAAATTGTACACCACAAATTTGAATTTTTTTTATCTTGATTATATAATTTTAATTCATCTTTGTCTTTATTTAAAGGCCATTTATAGTGAACTTTACAGTTAGGATTTGTTTGAATTTTCACACTTTTTTCAATAATCGATTCTTTATATTTGGAATGATCCTCAAATAAATTCGAAATAGTAGATGTATTAAAATTACTATAAGTCAAATTATCATTCATAGAACTTTGAAGGTGTAAATTTTCTGGTTGATTAGAGTTTATTCCAACAATATTATATAAAATTCTTTTATTAATACTAGGTAAACTTTGATTAATAGTAATGTTGCAGTCATTTTCTGAAAATTGATTTTCATTTTGATTATCTTCAAAATGACCAACTTTAGAATACAGAAATTCATCATCTGAGCATGATATTTCATTCACATATCTTTTAACATGTCTATTATCAAATTGATTTGATTCAGAAGTAATGAAATTATGGCTAGTATTAGAATCTGATGTAGAACAATAATTATCAATTGGAGTGTAAAAAAATTGATGAGAATTTCTATTTTCTAAAAAAAAGTGATCTTCATTTAAATGTGAATTTATTTTTGATTGAACTGGTCTTTGAATTATTTCTAGTGAATTTGGATATGTTAGCAATCTTGGTGACTTTTGAAGATCTGAAGTGTCCATTACACCTTTCATACTAGACCATTTGTTAGAGTTAAATTCTTTAAAATCATTTAAAATTTGAATAGGTCTTAAATTTGTTGGAATCAGCTTAGAAGTTGATAAATTACTTGTACAATGCATATTATCTTGAGAATCTAAATTTTTAAATTCTAACTCTATTGAATCTTCACTAAACTCATCAGACATAATGTTACTATCAATTTTTTTTACATTACTAGACAAATTTTTTATGTTATTCATTAAAGTGATATTGGTTTCATAGCAGCCAGAGTTATTTTTTATGCATTTTTCTTTTATGAAACCATTTAAACTTTGATCCAAACATGATTTAAGAACAACATTATTTTGATTATTTAAAGATTCTGATATAAATTTGGTTGAAATATTCAATGGATTGATTGCAGAATTAGGAACAGATAAATTACATGTTTTAGAATCTTTATCGTCCATTTTTTTATGAGAAAAATGGCTTGACAACATTGGAGTTTTCAACTGCATGTGATTTAATATTACTATTTTATTATTACCAATATTGTGACTTCTTGAATTATTATTTGTTTTAGAGTTAATTAAATTACTTGTAGCATTGGAAGATTTTTTATTTGTTTGCAAAGTTTCTCTATCATTATCATTAGGATAATTTTGTACATGAACAAGTGGAGAATCAGATATCCATGGGCCCTTATTTAAAGATATATCAGTTGAGTTAACAGAAATAGGAGATAAAACATTAACAACTTCTAAATCTTGGTTATCAGTTTCGTGTTCCATTAAAGAATTTTTAAATTTAATTACGTTTTGATTCATTGGAACTGTATACATCTGAAGATTATCATTAAGAGATGATTCTTCAGTTACAAAATTTGAAATTAATTCTTCAGAATCTCTATTAGAAAATGTATTTTCTTTCTTTAAAATTTTATTTTCCACATCAGAATTGAGATCTTTCATTTCAATTTCATTTAGCATAGATAGATTGTTTTTTAATTCTAAAGAATTGGCTTCATCTAATACAGTACTTGGTGATAGTTTATAAACTTGTGGCACCTCATTCAAAATAACTTCATTTTGATTGTTAGATATTTGAATTTTTAAATTTTCATTTGTGTAACTTTTATCAATAGAATTTGTACTATCATTCATTGCAATATCCAAATTCAATTTATTGGTAACTGAAAAATCAGCTTCTAATGATTTAATGCTCCAGTTTTTTGATATAATTGTAGATTTAGTTTCTAAAATATTGTCTATAATGATAGGTTGATTATTGTTCTTGGATAAATAATCAGCTTCATCACAATACATATTTTCTTGTTTAGAATATTTTTTATTTAATCTTAATTGAGTATTATTAAAGGAATTACTTGATTCTTTTCCTTCAATATCGGTTTCACAAAATATTTTTTTCCTTAAATTTTGATCAGGTGAATGTGATCTACACCGTTTTTTTGACTTATTGAAAAAACTAAAATTAGTAGAATTTCTAAAATTTTCTTTACAATTAGAAGTAAACATTTTTTCAATATTATCATTTAAAGTTAATGTAAATGGTTGATTGTTTATCCAAACTATATTAAGACTTTTTATAGATTTTTCACTAGAGTTGGTTAGAAGTGAAACAATATTTGTATTTTTTCCAGACAGTTCATCGTTATTTGATAATGCAATTTTTTCATTTTTAATTAAATTTTTTTGGTTATATTTACTTTTTTCTGGTTCTTTTAAAATAATAATATCATTTGTAATTTCAATTGAATGATCTTTTGAAATTATACCATTATTATCAGTATTATTTTTAATATCATGTTTTGATAAAACAATTTTATCATCAAAATTATATTTTATTTTTCTGGATAAACTATTACATGATCCAGTAATAGGTATTAATGGTTTCAAACTTTCATCAAATTTTATTTTCTAAAACAAATCATTTCAAATATAAAAATATAAATATAATATTTGTACTTCAAGTTTTTTTAATATAAATATTCAAAATAGTTTTTTTTAATAGTTATATGTTAATTGCAAGTATATTATTACCCATTTTTGAATAATATTCTCATCTTCATTAAATATTTCAGACATATCAGGAAATTTTAATTTGCAACGTTTGACAACCAATTTTATTAAATGAGAAATATTTTCCTTGGACACATCTAATATGTCCTAAAAACATTATTATATTCATTATATTAAATTACTAACTATCAGTAGTACTGTTTAAAATCATTAAATAAGGAAAATTTATAATTATATAAAGTAAAGTTTAATATAAAAAGCACACAGACTAACATATGTAGCTCTACAGAAGGATATTAAAATTAAATATAATAATAAAATGTTCAATGAATAAAAAATAAAACGAAAGAGCTACATTTTATAAATAATTTTGTCTATAAAATTTAAAATGGGGATTTTCTCAAATAACTTTTAAAAATGTTCCAAAACCCTGTATCGATTAACCATATTGTCAATCAGTGGCACAATCACAGGGATTATCTAGATCTAGACCCCTCGTGGACATAACATCATAGTAGTGGAGAAATTTAACTACTTTATGTTTTAAAAGCTATCTAAATCTCCTCCACAAACAAAATTTATAATTGCGCTAATGTTGTCACTTAATGTGTACACTTATCATCTTACTTTTCAATTTTTAAATAGAGCAAAAAAATGTTTTATTTAGATCAATTTTTAACTTAAAAGAGCTACTAACTCATTCTGGTAAAAAAAATTATAAAAGTGGTGTTGCGCCTTAAGTGACATTAAACAAAAGTATATGTAACATACTTACTACAAGTTAAAAAAAATTTCCTACGACATTATTGCTATGTGCAGATGGAAGTAAAATAAAAATATACAATATTTATATAAATATTGCTGCTTTTTGTACTTTTATTTTTAATTAATTGTTTTAATAATTAATCAAGGGAGCAAAGGGGTAGCTTGTCTCTTAAAATTATTTCGGTTAACCAAAAAACTTTTTTTTTATAGTCATTCATAAATTTTAAATATATAGTTAGCTATATTGATCATTAAAATGTCAGTTGGTCAAGTGGACTAGGTTACCCTCAATTTTACAGGATAAATATATTTAGGAAGGTCTTACATCAGTCATAAAATTATACATTCAAAAAGTTTTGTGGTAAAAATATTTTTAAAGAGCCTAAAAAAAAAGTACTAGCAAAAATGACCTATACTACTAACAATTTTAATACAACTTGAAATTATATACTCTAAGGAAGGTCAGAATAACCAATTTTTTTTAAAGTAAAATCGCATCAGTTTTTTATGATAGTGATTTCAATCACTATCACTAACAAAGAGTTTTTGAAAAAATAATTCTAAGCAAATTAAAACCAGAACTCAAACAAATAATAAGCTTTGATCAACATAGCTTCATGTCAGGAAGATCAATAGTCATTAATTTTTTTTAATTTACTATCACAATATCTTTGTCAGAAAATAAACAAATAGATTATCATATATACAGATTTGAGGAAGATAAATAAAAACCTATTTATCTTCCTCAAATCTGTTCAAAAAGTCTTGAAACTTACAAATAAAAACACATCTTTTTCACAAAATTTAAGTACAAAATTTGTATTATCCATTGTTTACAAAATAACAACAGTAGTTTCAGTTTAATGAATATAAATTAGGCATAGAAAGATAATTTTTTTTACCTAGATAAAAAAAATGTATCAAATTAGGAAAATATCTGGTTGAAAACAATTTTTAAAAAAAAAACTTCAGAAATTATTAACATTTTGAATCCTCCCTTGTGGTAAAGGGACAGATTTTCAAAAAAAATATACCAAATGATAGATTGTACCTTATGTAATTATATATAAAAAAAAAATTATTTTGTTTCATTAATTTTTCAAAAAATTTTAGTAGGTTTCGAAAAAAATCCAAATTTACCAGTTTAAAAAAAAATCAAAGTTTTTTGGAGATTTTACCTATTTCAGGGAACGGAGGAATTTTTTTCAATTTTTAAGGACAATGTCTTCAATTAGATACGACTTGTGATCTTTGAACGTATCATGGGATGTAATCATTTTAGTGAGCGCTGAGAATAAATGATAACAGATATAAAAAAAAACACATCATAATATAATTAATCTCTCAGCTTTGCATCGAAGCTAAAATCAACAATGCATTATCCAAACCAATTCAAGTGAGATCAAGGTGTTTTCAAGGTAGATTTTTGTCAGCAGATTTATTTGCTATATACATTAATGACAAATTCAGTTAACAAGATAATATTAACAGATTTTCAGATTAGTGTAAAGATAATTATATAGAGATAAATCCTACAAAATATAGTAACATCTACTTTAAGAAGGATAAAATACAATTTACAATTCAATTATAATATCAATAAGCAAACTGATTAAAGACACAAATACAATCAAAGACCTTGATGTCACATTAGACAGCCGATTATATTTCAAGGAACATATAAATATATAATTAATAAAGCAAATCAGATGTTAGGATTTGTAAGAAGACGCTCATAAGACTGAATGTAGTGACAACCAATATATTGTATAACTCATTAATTTGTTTCCATCTAGAATATGACAATACACTTTGGAATTCAGTATTTAACACAAACATTAATAAAATAGAAAAAGTCCAAAAATCAATTGTTTAAATATCAAAGCTATAAAATTAGTTTTTTTAATGGGAAGACCGAAACCAATTATTATACATGGAGATGATAAATATTTTGTGGACCTGGATCAAGTATAATTGTTAAATAATTTTATCAGTTAAATTTGAATTTGAAGTTTATTTGACCTGTTAACCCACTAAAATTTAATTGCAAAAATATACGGTTATAAAAAAAAAAGATAGACACCATTACATGTTTCTTTAATATTTTTATTCATTAAATACAAGTTTAGAATCTAATAATCTCAAACATTCATAAATCTATAAAAAAATTGTAAAAAATAACACATTAAAAGAAGGTAGAAAATGAAACATGGACTTCAAACATTTTTCGTTTTTATACTGACAATTGGGATATAACCCTATTGAAACTTTTGCCTCGCTCAAAATTTCTGGGAATATTATGCACTCCTGGCATCGTACATGTAAACCAATTACTGGTGATAAATTTGTAAGTTGTTTTTACTAATTTTATAGGAAGCGATCATTTTTTAGATTTTGCTTGTTATATTATTACAATAAAAAAATTTATCACAAAAGTTTTCTTTTATGATACTAATTAAAAAAATTATGAATTTCTTATTTCTATAGTTAATCAATATTTTTCTTATGACAAAAAACTTGTCATGATTAACAAAGGTAAAATTTATATAAAATGAAATTGCTTACAATGAAAACTCTTTAATATTGGTAGATGTCCAACTAATAAAGTAAATAGCACACTACACTCACTAGCACCATTTATGTACAAAAAGCGAATTTAATCTTAAATACCTGGTGTAGTTAAAAAAATATTTATAATTAACAAAAAAATTTACATATATTTACCTTTATACACTCCTTCAGTGATAAATTAGCATTGTACAAAATAAATGTAACATTTTTTAAGTCTTTTTCTAACATTTCACTTGTTTTACTTTGTGACATAGTCAATTTTGGCCAATTAGGCCACTTTAATTTTTGATATATGTCCATAAAATCATGAGGTGGATTTAATTTTCTTAGCAGTATTTTAATTTCATCTTGTTCTTTTCTTTTATTAGCTCCATTTAATGTACTAAAAATTGTTTTTTTCCAAAGCTTAAAACATATAATATATCGTAAATATGTAAAAAATTCCATTTTTGCTGGTATTGGTCGCTGAGATAACAATTTTCTAAAACAATAGATCTTAGGTTAACAAAAATATTTAATTCACTATTATAAAAAATTTTTATCTAAATCTATGCCTGGTATTGTTATAGTAAAACGAAGTGTAGCAAATAATAAGAATTTTTAATCATAGCTTTTATTAAGTAAAATAAGTATTAAATATATTAAGTAAATTTTCCCTGTGGATAGGGGATAAGAATACTTCCTTGGCCCCTCTGCCAGTCGTAAGAGCTGATTAATGAGGTTGCATCAGATCGACAGCTGGCGTAAAATTTTTGTCAAATAGTATGAGGTGTCCTGAACGAAACTTAGGCGAATTGTCCCATCTTGAATGTACGCGGGGATAACAGGTGTGAGGGAATAAAATAGTTAAAAACGGAGAAGGCCTAAGGAATAGTGTTTGATACCAGCTGGACAACTTGTGCGGTAGCTGTTTCACTAGTCATGTGTACAGGTCTAACGCTTGTAGTGTCAACAGTGTAGGGACATCACCACTTAACTCTAGGCTGGATTCGTGTATAAAAAAGTACTCCAAGTAATTGGGATTAAGGCGAGGAAGAAGAAGAAACTTTTATTAAGTAAAATGACATTTTTACAAATACCCATATTGTTACAGTACAACCCCTCCTTCTAAATAAAAAACAATTGCTTTTCTCCTAAGTTTGGAAATACTTCTAAAGTAATAATTAATTTGGGTTGAAGAAGGGTAACAATGTGTATTCAATTTTAACAAAGACCTAGGGTGTTTGCCATGAGTAAAACAAGGGTTCACAAGTGGTATAAGCGTTTTAAAGATGGCCATGAATACGTTGAAAATGACGAACGCACCAGCACATAAATAACCGATGAAAACATGGAAAAAATAAAAGAAATGGTTATGAACAATTGCCGAATTACAATCAAAGAAGTCGCTGATAATGTTGGAATATCAAATGGCTCATGCCATAAAATTTTTTTTAATGTTTTGGGTATGAAACATTATGCAAATTTTAATCCAGAATTGTTGAATTTTGAACAAATACAGCGACGAAAAGTAGTTGCTCGGGAGTCACTTAATGAGGTCAACAACGATGCTGAATTACTGAAACGTATTATAACAGGTGACAAAACATGGATTTAAGGATACGACATCAAAATTAAGGCTCAAACATTCTAGTGGAGGCATTCTGGATAGACAAGACCAAAAAATAAAAAATGGCTCGACAAGCATATTAGCATAATACATTTTATTTCAATTCCTGTAGTGAAATTACATTTATTTATGCATTTCTAAAAAATTGACTAAATGTAAATTACATTGGCTTAATTCTGAAGTACAGATAAAATCAATTTATATTTTCATGAAGACTATTTATATAACTAGTAACATTTATAAATAAAACTCACTTAAAAATTGGAAGTGTGATGAAACCAAAATCAGCAGAACCATAGAATACATAATACGATTGAAATATTGAATCAAATATAAAATCAATAGAATCATCTAAAAGTAATTAAGTATTTAAAAAATAATAATATAAATTTATCTTTTAACTAATAAAAAACATTTGATTAGTTAGATTTTTGAGTTTTATGGCTTTTATCAGGTGGGTTTTTTTTTTAAGTGTCATTGACACATAATACATCTAATTACTCACCTAAAAATAAATATAAAGCCAAGATAATTTTACTAGAAATTTTTTTTTCCAATCCTTTCATACACCTGAAAATAAAAGTGCATTTTATTAAATTTAAATTTAAATCTTAATAACCAAGTAGAAACTGAAAATATAATAAATGCAAATTTTACTAAAATTACTAATAACTAAAGGTAATTTGCTAGCTACTATGTGAGTTTCAGTATTAAAATCTCCAAGGATAATTTTTTCTTATCAAATTTATCAGTATCCCTAACATTAATTAAAAAGAAAAAAAGTTATATTCCTCTTATTTCCCTTTGACATTGTATCAAATTTTGATTTTTTAAATGGTAACATACATATATTTGGCTGACTTAAAAAAAAGAAAATGATCTAACTATGAAAATGACTGGGTGATAACTTTTGAACAATTATTTTAAAAGAAATAATTATTTTTACATCATAACAGGAGTAAAAGAGTTCAGAAAAATTTTAGATATAAAATAAACAGACAGTGCAGTTGATACAATTTTAAGAAGAAATAAGAGGGGATAAAACAATATTTTTTTGTGTTAATTAAAGCAGGTGGGATATTCAAAACTTCTGAAATGAAAAAATTGTGTAATTATACTCATCTTATACTTTTAAAGAAATCAATTAGTAAACCACTCTGTATATCATCATAAAAATGAGCAGATTCTTATCAAAATTTTGCCATTAAATATAAAAATAATTTTTACTTACCGAGAAGACATTAATTCCAAATCCATATAATAGGATACCAATGAAGCCATTTTATCAAGATATATTGTATCCAATAATGGCTAAAAATTGAAAATCAAATATTACATTAAGTACTGAATTTGAGTTTTAATTAGAGAAACCCATTATCAATCATTACAGATTAGAAACAAATGCAAGAAAATACTTGCTAAGATTATGTCATTTTAATAATCGTATAACTATTTCATTATATAATGAGCAAAACAAAGTAATGTATACTCTTTCTTATCAAATATTTGATTTAAGAATGATATATAATACATATAAAACAGTAGTAACACACACACAAAAACACATAGTAGTAAAATTAATACCTTCTCAATTTTGAATAGTAGCTAAATTAATTTTTACCCAAATTATTATTCATTTTGATTTTTAATATATTAAAAATGATCAATGAAAAATATCATTTTTAAAAATTTGTTTGATACTTTAATGTTTATTTTTGTAAAAGTTTATGATAACAAAATGTTGAATTTGTTACCAAATTTAACTTGAAGGTTTGAAATTCATATCATTAAATGGAAAATTCTATGAGAATAAAAAAAATGGTATTGTAAGATAAATATACAGTCAGGAAATTGAATAATTACTATTTACAGAAAATTCATCAAAAAAGCCCAATATTTTTTCTGATATTTATTGTAAAATATCACTTAAAAATAAATAATAGTAATCATTTCTAAGTAACTTTTGGTGTTTAAAAAGATTCTAAGAATTAAATTATTCATTTTCATGATTTACTTGAACTAAAAAAACCAATCAGAGTTGTTAAAAAAAATCTACTTAATAGAACATATTTTAAAATTTGATTATAATTGTAAAAATCTATTGTTTGTTCAAGTGAAATAAAAGATCATTTTTTTTAGAAATAATTTATACAGCAACATGCACCAAAAAAATTGGGATATTATAAATTGGTAATAAAACACACAAATGGAGTTTAAAAAATAAGAATAATTAAGTCAGATTATTTAATTTTGTTGTTAAAATCTATTATCATATCAAATCAAAGTTGACACTAAATACTTTAAAAATATTAGAAATAAATGATTTTAATTGTCTATATCAAGAATGTAGGTAAGTAACTTTTTAATTGATAACATGGAATTTTTTCAATTTTTGAAAGTAATATCTTAACTAGATATCATAGATAGAAATCACTTGACATATCATTGAAAAAGTAGGTCAAATAAGAACTGAGAAAATAAATGACAGCTACAAAAGAAACAACATAGATAATAATTTTAATATGAATAAGAAATTTATTCTCACAAAGGGAGACTACAGTGAGTGATGAGGCCCTTGATATTCATTGAAGTTATGAAATCTAAATGAGATCAAAAAATCAAATGAATTTTCAATTTATAAGAATTAAAAAAAAAAAATGAATTGCCACATGCAGGTTCGAACCTGGTACCTCAAGCATGAAACATAAAAGTGTTTCTGACGTGGCAACCCTACATATTGTATTAATCGGTAGATAAAAATACCAATTTAAGCTAAATCAAATTAGCTTAAATTTTTCTCAACTTAAAAGCAAAAAAATTTAAATAAGCATAAACTTTCTATGATTTCTCAATTAGATTGATATAATATTTATGAAAATCAGTGCACTCCCTTTTTAAGGCATTATAAAATAAAATAAAATACAAAACCGACAATTTTTAACACAAAAATAGCATATTTTTTTAATATTGTAGCCTATTTCACTATAAAGACAATCTATAGTTCAATAAAATTTTATTTCATACTTAAGTATATTACATAAGCTTTTATTTAAGATATATATAAAAGTGTCAGCATTCTCAGAATATTTTCAAAAATTAAGTTGAAAAAGATAATTTTTTGTGGAAAAGTTATCATTTTGAATCCTTCCTGTAGGCAGGTAAAGGGTGAGATGTAATTGTAGTTGAAATTATATTAATTTATACAATTATGTAATTGTATAAAAAAAATTATTTTGTTTCATTAAAAAAAAAAAAAACAGTGGTGACTGTTGCTGCGACCTCCCTGTGCTGGGTTTTATTTATTTAAATATTTTTATATTTAAATATATCTGACAGTGATTAAAATCACTATCAAAAAAATGCTTCGATACAAATCATTAGTGTTTAATTTTAAAAAATTGGTGGATTATTCCAAAGCTACATGATCTGCTATTTCCTTATTAATATCCTGATTAAGATAAAGTATGTCAAATGAAAAAGGGATTATTAAAAAATATTATTTCTCATAAAAAAATTGTATTGATCCATACACTTTTCAATAAGTTATAGCATTATAAAGTTAAAAATGTAAAATATAAGATCGAAAATTTTCATACAAAAATAGTATTTGGTAGTCATTTTTACCGTGAAGACAAAATAAAGTCCAAAAGTTTTTTTTTCTATAATAAAGTACATTACGTTAGCTTTAACTTAAGATATATATCAAAGTGTCACTTTCAGGAACACTTTCAAAAGTTAATTTTTTGTGAAAAAGTTGTCATTTTGAATCCACCCTGTGGGCAGGTAATGGGTCAGATATTAAAAAAAATTATATTGAATCGTTCATTTTTGAAAAAGTTATGGAAGTTTTAGGAAAAAAAAATAGAAAAAATTAGCAATTTTTAAATTTGTAATTTTTTTAGTTTTCCCCCATTTACGGTAAAGAAAGACTATATAAATTTTTAAGGGTAATGTCTTTGTGAGACATAATTAAGAAATTGCCTGTATATAAATATCTTTTATGAAAATATATAAATTAAATTTTATTTTATATTTACTTGTTTCATGTCATAATGATACTTTCGAAAAAACAATAAAGATTGAAATACATAAAATTTCAGAAGATTAGATTTGTTGATTTTATTTCTACAATCAAGAACTTCTGGTAATAAATTCCTAAAATAAAAAAATTATAAAAATCTGATTAGATATCAATTATTATGACATTTATATAATAGCAATAACTCTTCATTTATAAACAATTTAGACACTTATCTTTCAACTAATATTACATACAACAAATAATAATGGTTAATCATAAAAGTATTCATTTTTTTTTTATTAGAACATTAATTTTACTTACTCATGAAACAAACTAAGTAAACCATGAATAATATCTTTATTCAGTTTAACTGAAGATTTTCGACACTGTAACCGAAAACCAGCTAGCCATTTAATAAAAGACATTTCTACTAATGTTTCTTGGCAATCAATATATTTTGGTAATTTTTCCATGTTACTAAAATTTTCTTCGGGTTTACTTATTAAATCATTATCATCAACAATGAAATCTAAAAACAAAAATTTTATTATATAATGTTATTCTTTTGTTATTGACCATTAATAATAATTTAATTAACATCAACAATATGATAGGAATAAAGTTTTAATTAAAGAAGAGGTAGAGGAAGACCAAAAAAGAGATGGAGGGATGCTATTGAATTCGATTTGAGGACAGCTGATGTGGGAGATCGTGTCAAGTGTAAGTTTAGGATAAGGGTGGCCAACCCCAAGTAGTTGCGACTAAGGCGAAAAAAAAGAAGAATTATATTTTTAATACATTAAAGATTATTATTCAGTTTTTGACTTATATATTTATTAATCTATGTGTTATTAATCAATTGTAATTATAGTAATAAATGTGAAAAAAAAATGATACGGCCAAAAGTGGATAATAACAATTTGCTGGGTTAAATCTGTTATTTGAACTATAAAAGAAGAATAGATACTTAAAACAAGAAGAACTCATACTCTTATATATATATATATATATATATATATAAAATTTTGCAACCAAAATAGAACAATGGCACAATCACTTCATACAAAAAACCATTTCTAGTGGGCACTTTGGTGGCATATTTTTTACAAACCTTATTTAAATTAACCTATGACAGAAAATTTAAAAAAGTGTAACATATCCATGAAAAACATATGAAAGTGAAAAAACTCTTCTCCTCCATTCAAATATATACAAATTAAATAAGAGATATAATAACAAAAATAGCAAAACCCGACTTTATATGTCTAAATATAAAATTTATATTTAATACAGAAATAATAGAAAATGTAGAAACTGAAAAGCTAATAATGAGGAAAACTCTTAAAGACAAATTTAACACAGTATTGCTACTGTGTTGATAAATACATGTATTTAGACAATCAATCATAGCAAATAACAGTATTCTTACCCCTTTCTTACTACCAACAAATTTACACCCATCAATATCTCATGAAAACATGACCAAAACATATTTTAGCAGATAGAAACAATACAAAAAAAAAAATAAAATAATTTAATAATCCAACAACACCTCAACACGCCTCTCTTATGTAAAAGAAGAAAAGTATAAAATAATATAGTAATTTTTAAAATTATCTAAATCAATTGAAAAATATTTATTACTCTCTGTAAATAAAAAAAAAACTAAAAGTTTTTAATTTTTCCCCACTAAATCTAAAAGTGACTTATTTTCATACAAAAATAAATGTATCAACACCTAGAATTCAAATGAATGAAATCTTAGTACCAACTAAATATTTTACAAATACAATCAAATAATTATCTTAACTGGTAATATTACAATAATAAAAATAAAAGGAAAGCAATAACAAGACTGGACATCATTATTAAATCAATTATTAACCAGTTTTAAAGAACTAACTAAAATTACAATAGCTATTGAAAAATATTGAAAATCAGTCAAGATTTAACACATTTTTTACAAAAAATATGGTTTTTTAGATAAATTCTTAATTATAAATTGATCAAAAACTTTTACGAGACAATTTTTTGATTCCATAACAGATATTTACTTTTTTCTAAAGTATTTATGACAAATTAATAAAAAAAATTAATATAAATTTGAATTTAGGTAACAACAATTATAACTATATTTTTTTTAGATTATTTTAGTTATTGATATCAATGAATTATCTATTTACATCCATAATTCTCTTTTAATAGAATGATTGAACTTAATAGTTTATACTTTTATTAATGTCATGTTTACAAGTTTTTTAAATTATTTTGTTTTTTATGATATATTGATGGAAGTCATTTTAATATAATATACAAATGTAAAATACATTAGTGCTTAAAACTATAAGCATATTATTTTTTATTCCAAGTGTTTTTAAGAAATAAAAAAAAATGTAAACAAAATTATGAAAAATTTATTTTTATTTTTTAGTTCAAGTTTTGTTATTAATTTAACAATATTTTAATTTTAATAAAATTTAATAACATGAAGTCAGCTCAAAGGTCCACAAGGATGACTTTTCAGGACAATACTGTACATTTTGGGGTGTGTTTTATCTTGAATATAAAAAGGTAAAACAAATTTTAGCGAAAAACAGAATCAATAATTATTTACAGATTGACAAAAAACCTTGAATAGGTCTTTATATGATATTTTGTATTATTTTGTCCCTTACATCTATTTTATTAAAAAAAAAATTAATACAAAAAACTCTTAATATACAATTTCAATATTTTTTTTTTAAAAATTAAAAAAAAAAAAGTTTTAAGGGGTTTTAACAATATTGTCACTAAGTAGGTTATTCATGATTTTGTAGTAAAATATCAATATGTGAACATTTATTCATTCTAGGTCAATTTTTTTAGTTTATTTAAACAGATGAACACTTTTTTCAAGTTAAATATATTTTAAGATTTCAATCATAGTTTTTAAAAAAATACAGTATAATGAAAAATGAAACTGGATAACTACACAATCCATTCATTAATTTAAATATCAAAAATTAATTTCAAAGTAAAAAGGTACCTTTCTCTATCTTTAAAATATATTTAGATGTATAAAATACATGTAAATTATACATTTATACATCATTTAGATGTATAAATATATTTACTGTAAAATTGACCATCATATAAATTGTTAACTTTAAATTTAACTTTAAAGTGTTTGTTAATTTGAAAATATAATTGTTTAATTTTATTTAAAATAGATCAGATCTCCAATTTTAATTATTCGAGTTATCTTAAGTTTAAGAGATTAATTTGGAAATAGTAAACTAAAAAATACAATTTGACTTTTCATTTTAATGATTATAATTAATCGCTGATTTTGTAAATAATCCCGATCCCAATTGCACCCACAGTATTTATGTAAAATAGGTGCAAGTGTATACCCAAGGGAAATATAAATCAAAAACTTACACAATAAAAATAATTACACAGTGATACCAGTTTGTTTTGAATAAATGTGATGATAGAAAATTAATTTCTTTGAAAAAATGTCCAGCATCTCACAATACAGGTAAAAATTTAGAAACTTGGATTAATAAAAATGACTATGTTTATCATTTTTAAATTTTAATACCTATATATGTATATAATTAAAAACTATAGCTTCAACTTGCAAAATTTCAATCATAATAAGCAACAGTTTTTTCACAAAAAATACTTCTTAATTTTTGGGTATATGATCACAAATGAGTGTTTACCATTCAATAAAAATATCAGTTATTATTTTACTAGGGTTATATTAATTAAAAAAGTTATGTACCCCAAAACATCACTAATAATATGTGAAATTTTCTTTTTATGTTTAGCTTAAAATTAAACAAGAATTCACTAACCTGAAGAATTTTCGCTGATTTTTTTCATATAAAATTCTGTCATAATGGGCTCCATTTCCCAAGACTGACTCATAAACGAAAAGAAATAAAGCAAAACTCCGTTAACTAAATTAAAGAAATAATAGACCTCTATTTAATGAGGCAACATTGACATTCGATGAGTGACATACCTAGAGTTAAAATTAAGTAGATATTCAGACTCCCTTAAAGAGGAAATCAAATCTGATAGTGATCATGTTAATATCTTTGTTCTTATTTAACAGTTGGTGATTAACAAGCAAAACCTTATACCGATCGTTATTTAATAAATATTATAAGGTATGCCTGAAAGCATAACAATCAGAAACAAAACTGTTACCAAATGAGTAACCGTAGAACTAATGGCTCACTGAAATACATTGTTAGTAATTATAAGCGGCTAATATATTAGCACTCGATACGGGGTTGTAACCTATTAACAGAGACCCGGTCGTTTTTTAAACCAAAATCCCTGCACAGACGCGACGAAGTATAAAACGCTCAACTCGTTTGAGCATTTATCAATCATTTGTGATTTATATATGTGTATATATATTTTTGTACGTATCATGTAATTACATGGAATCCCCTAGCGGAGTTTCTGAAATGCAGAGTTGAATAGTAGGGATCTCAAATAATCATGCGCTGTGCAACTTGAATTATCAGCTGTTGCTATTGGCAACAGTCTACTTATATTCTTTATTGAAATCTAAATTGTTTGCATGTTTTTATCAATTAAACAATTTAGATAATTGATTGAAAAATATTATTTTATAAAATATATATCTATTATATTAATGGAAGAAAATGTTGTAAATTTGTACGAGACCTACTCGAAAGCCTCCCTCGACAAGTATTAGTGTGTACCATTTATAATTAGTTAGGATAAATAAAATTTTGGCTGATTAATAATAACGGCTAAAAATTAATAATAAAAATAAATACATTTTGACGATATTATAAACAAAATTTTAAATATTAGCCACACGTGATCAATTTTTATTATATAATGTAAACAAGTTTTTTGAATAAAAGAATCTAAAATGTCTGTCAATAATTCAATATAAAATGTCATTTATTTTTATAAAAGTACTATTATTAAACAAAAATAAGGTTGTTATCTGTCTAATTTTGTATTTTGTTTTTTATTTTTGTATGTTTTACATATAAGGGCTAGATCTTAAGTTACGGAGGGTAGTACAACCCTTCATGAAAACTATTTAAAAAAAAATTCACCATCAACTATTATATAGTTGTATAGTCGAAAATTTATAAACAATTTCAAGACCTTATTTTTGCTTATTACATTTAGTGACGAAGAGTAAGTCAAATAATTTGTGCATAACACAAATTATTTTTTCCTAAAAAAGATTTTACATTTCAATATATAGAGTTATTTATAAATCGTCGACTACGAGATTTCTTTTAAAATAATAATAAATTTGAAAATTTCTATTGTCAAACAACTATTGTACTCAGATGATGTTATAATATCATCTCAGTTCTTTTTTTCCTCGTCTTAATCCAACCTCTTGGAGTCAGCCACCCTTATCCTAAACTTCCACTTAACACGATCACCCACATCATCTATTCTTACAATATATAATATAATAATATCATCTCATTTACTTCTTAAAAAATAAATCTCATTCTACAAAAGGTAACTTAAATCATGCTACACTAGTAAGGAATGTTATAGTAATTATTTGAAAATAACACATGTTTTCCCTTTTAGCTTCGATGCGAAGCTGAAAAGATATTAGTTTTACTATGATGTGTTTTTTTTTGTCTGTTACCACTTTTTCTCAGCTCTCACCGAACGGATTTCTTTCAACGATACGTCAAAAGATCACAAATCGTATCTAGTCGAAGACATTACCCTTAAAAATTGAAAAAANATGAAATCTAAAAACAAAAATTTTATTATATAATGTTATTCTTTTGTTATTGACCATTAATAATAATTTAATTAACATCAACAATATGATAGGAATAAAGTTTTAATTAAAGAAGAGGTAGAGGAAGACCAAAAAAGAGATGGAGGGATGCTATTGAATTCGATTTGAGGACAGCTGATGTGGGAGATCGTGTCAAGTGTAAGTTTAGGATAAGGGTGGCCAACCCCAAGTAGTTGCGACTAAGGCGAAAAAAAAGAAGAATTATATTTTTAATACATTAAAGATTATTATTCAGTTTTTGACTTATATATTTATTAATCTATGTGTTATTAATCAATTGTAATTATAGTAATAAATGTGAAAAAAAAATGATACGGCCAAAAGTGGATAATAACAATTTGCTGGGTTAAATCTGTTATTTGAACTATAAAAGAAGAATAGATACTTAAAACAAGAAGAACTCATACTCTTATATATATATATATATATATATATATAAAATTTTGCAACCAAAATAGAACAATGGCACAATCACTTCATACAAAAAACCATTTCTAGTGGGCACTTTGGTGGCATATTTTTTACAAACCTTATTTAAATTAACCTATGACAGAAAATTTAAAAAAGTGTAACATATCCATGAAAAACATATGAAAGTGAAAAAACTCTTCTCCTCCATTCAAATATATACAAATTAAATAAGAGATATAATAACAAAAATAGCAAAACCCGACTTTATATGTCTAAATATAAAATTTATATTTAATACAGAAATAATAGAAAATGTAGAAACTGAAAAGCTAATAATGAGGAAAACTCTTAAAGACAAATTTAACACAGTATTGCTACTGTGTTGATAAATACATGTATTTAGACAATCAATCATAGCAAATAACAGTATTCTTACCCCTTTCTTACTACCAACAAATTTACACCCATCAATATCTCATGAAAACATGACCAAAACATATTTTAGCAGATAGAAACAATACAAAAAAAAAAATAAAATAATTTAATAATCCAACAACACCTCAACACGCCTCTCTTATGTAAAAGAAGAAAAGTATAAAATAATATAGTAATTTTTAAAATTATCTAAATCAATTGAAAAATATTTATTACTCTCTGTAAATAAAAAAAAAACTAAAAGTTTTTAATTTTTCCCCACTAAATCTAAAAGTGACTTATTTTCATACAAAAATAAATGTATCAACACCTAGAATTCAAATGAATGAAATCTTAGTACCAACTAAATATTTTACAAATACAATCAAATAATTATCTTAACTGGTAATATTACAATAATAAAAATAAAAGGAAAGCAATAACAAGACTGGACATCATTATTAAATCAATTATTAACCAGTTTTAAAGAACTAACTAAAATTACAATAGCTATTGAAAAATATTGAAAATCAGTCAAGATTTAACACATTTTTTACAAAAAATATGGTTTTTTAGATAAATTCTTAATTATAAATTGATCAAAAACTTTTACGAGACAATTTTTTGATTCCATAACAGATATTTACTTTTTTCTAAAGTATTTATGACAAATTAATAAAAAAAATTAATATAAATTTGAATTTAGGTAACAACAATTATAACTATATTTTTTTTAGATTATTTTAGTTATTGATATCAATGAATTATCTATTTACATCCATAATTCTCTTTTAATAGAATGATTGAACTTAATAGTTTATACTTTTATTCATGTCATGTTTACAAGTTTTTTAAATTATTTTGTTTTTTATGATATATTGATGGAAGTCATTTTAATATAATATACAAATGTAAAATACATTAGTGCTTAAAACTATAAGCATATTATTTTTTATTCCAAGTGTTTTTAAGAAATAAAAAAAAATGTAAACAAAATTATGAAAAATTTATTTTTATTTTTTAGTTCAAGTTTTGTTATTAATTTAACAATATTTTAATTTTAATAAAATTTAATAACATGAAGTCAGCTCAAAGGTCCACAAGGATGACTTTTCAGGACAATACTGTACATTTTGGGGTGTGTTTTATCTTGAATATAAAAAGGTAAAACAAATTTTAGCGAAAAACAGAATCAATAATTATTTACAGATTGACAAAAAACCTTGAATAGGTCTTTATATGATATTTTGTATTATTTTGTCCCTTACATCTATTTTATTAAAAAAAAAATTAATACAAAAAACTCTTAATATACAATTTCAATATTTTTTTTTTAAAAATTAAAAAAAAAAAAGTTTTAAGGGGTTTTAACAATATTGTCACTAAGTAGGTTATTCATGATTTTGTAGTAAAATATCAATATGTGAACATTTATTCATTCTAGGTCAATTTTTTTAGTTTATTTAAACAGATGAACACTTTTTTCAAGTTAAATATATTTTAAGATTTCAATCATAGTTTTTAAAAAAATACAGTATAATGAAAAATGAAACTGGATAACTACACAATCCATTCATTAATTTAAATATCAAAAATTAATTTCAAAGTAAAAAGGTACCTTTCTCTATCTTTAAAATATATTTAGATGTATAAAATACATGTAAATTATACATTTATACATCATTTAGATGTATAAATATATTTACTGTAAAATTGACCATCATATAAATTGTTAACTTTAAATTTAACTTTAAAGTGTTTGTTAATTTGAAAATATAATTGTTTAATTTTATTTAAAATAGATCAGATCTCCAATTTTAATTATTCGAGTTATCTTAAGTTTAAGAGATTAATTTGGAAATAGTAAACTAAAAAATACAATTTGACTTTTCATTTTAATGATTATAATTAATCGCTGATTTTGTAAATAATCCCGATCCCAATTGCACCCACAGTATTTATGTAAAATAGGTGCAAGTGTATACCCAAGGGAAATATAAATCAAAAACTTACACAATAAAAATAATTACACAGTGATACCAGTTTGTTTTGAATAAATGTGATGATAGAAAATTAATTTCTTTGAAAAAATGTCCAGCATCTCACAATACAGGTAAAAATTTAGAAACTTGGATTAATAAAAATGACTATGTTTATCATTTTTAAATTTTAATACCTATATATGTATATAATTAAAAACTATAGCTTCAACTTGCAAAATTTCAATCATAATAAGCAACAGTTTTTTCACAAAAAATACTTCTTAATTTTTGGGTATATGATCACAAATGAGTGTTTACCATTCAATAAAAATATCAGTTATTATTTTACTAGGGTTATATTAATTAAAAAAGTTATGTACCCCAAAACATCACTAATAATATGTGAAATTTTCTTTTTATGTATAGCTTAAAATTAAACAAGAATTCACTAACCTGAAGAATTTTCGCTGATTTTTTTCATATAAAATTCTGTCATAATGGGCTCCATTTCCCAAGACTGACTCATAAACGAAAAGAAATAAAGCAAAACTCCGTTAACTAAATTAAAGAAATAATAGACCTCTATTTAATGAGGCAACATTGACATTCGATGAGTGACATACCTAGAGTTAAAATTAAGTAGATATTCAGACTCCCTTAAAGAGGAAATCAAATCTGATAGTGATCATGTTAATATCTTTGTTCTTATTTAACAGTTGGTGATTAACAAGCAAAACCTTATACCGATCGTTATTTAATAAATATTATAAGGTATGCCTGAAAGCATAACAATCAGAAACAAAACTGTTACCAAATGAGTAACCGTAGAACTAATGGCTCACTGAAATACATTGTTAGTAATTATAAGCGGCTAATATATTAGCACTCGATACGGGGTTGTAACCTATTAACAGAGACCCGGTCGTTTTTTAAACCAAAATCCCTGCACAGACGCGACGAAGTATAAAACGCTCAACTCGTTTGAGCATTTATCAATCATTTGTGATTTATATATGTGTATATATATTTTTGTACGTATCATGTAATTACATGGAATCCCCTAGCGGAGTTTCTGAAATGCAGAGTTGAATAGTAGGGATCTCAAATAATCATGCGCTGTGCAACTTGAATTATCAGCTGTTGCTATTGGCAACAGTCTACTTATATTCTTTATTGAAATCTAAATTGTTTGCATGTTTTTATCAATTAAACAATTTAGATAATTGATTGAAAAATATTATTTTATAAAATATATATCTATTATATTAATGGAAGAAAATGTTGTAAATTTGTACGAGACCTACTCGAAAGCCTCCCTCGACAAGTATTAGTGTGTACCATTTATAATTAGTTAGGATAAATAAAATTTTGGCTGATTAATAATAACGGCTAAAAATTAATAATAAAAATAAATACATTTTGACGATATTATAAACAAAATTTTAAATATTAGCCACACGTGATCAATTTTTATTATATAATGTAAACAAGTTTTTTGAATAAAAGAATCTCTAAAATGTCTGTCAATAATTCAATATAAAATGTCATTTATTTTTATAAAAGTACTATTATTAAACAAAAATAAGGTTGTTATCTGTCTAATTTTGTATTTTGTTTTTTATTTTTGTATGTTTTACATATAAGGGCTAGATCTTAAGTTACGGAGGGTAGTACAACCCTTCATGAAAACTATTTAAAAAAAAATTCACCATCAACTATTATATAGTTGTATAGTCGAAAATTTATAAACAATTTCAAGACCTTATTTTTGCTTATTACATTTAGTGACGAAGAGTAAGTCAAATAATTTGTGCATAACACAAATTATTTTTTCCTAAAAAAGATTTTACATTTCAATATATAGAGTTATTTATAAATCGTCGACTACGAGATTTCTTTTAAAATAATAATAAATTTGAAAATTTCTATTGTCAAACAACTATTGTACTCAGATGATGTTATAATATCATCTCAGTTCTTTTTTTCCTCGTCTTAATCCAACCTCTTGGAGTCAGCCACCCTTATCCTAAACTTCCACTTAACACGATCACCCACATCATCTATTCTTACAATATATAATATAATAATATCATCTCATTTACTTCTTAAAAAATAAATCTCATTCTACAAAAGGTAACTTAAATCATGCTACACTAGTAAGGAATGTTATAGTAATTATTTGAAAATAACACATGTTTTCCCTTTTAGCTTCGATGCGAAGCTGAAAAGATATTAGTTTTACTATGATGTGTTTTTTTTTGTCTGTTACCACTTTTTCTCAGCTCTCACCGAACGGATTTCTTTCAACGATACGTCAAAAGATCACAAATCGTATCTAGTCGAAGACATTACCCTTAAAAATTGAAAAAAAATCCACCGTTCCCCGTAAATGGGGGAAACCTCCAAAAAAATGACAAATTTAAAAATCGCTAATTTTCGAAATTTTTTCAATTTTTTTTACTAAAATGTGCCGTAATTTTTTCAAAAATGAATATATCAATATATTTTTTTTTTATATAGATGTTTGATGTTTTTACTTATCATTTGGTATATTTTTTTTGTAAATCTAACCCTTGATCTGCCCAAAGGGGGGGATTTAAAATGACAACTTTTTCACAAAAAATTAACTTTTTCAACTTAACTTTTGAAAATGTTCCGGAAGGTCTGACACTTTTATATATATCTTAAATTAAAGCTAATGTAATGTACTTTAATTAAAAAAAAAAAATTATATAATCTAAGTTTTGACTTAAGCAGCAACGACGTTATTTTCTTCAAAGGTGAATCCAGATTTTATCAAGAGGAATATAATAATTCTTTTAGGCGTCAAAATCAATTTTTTGCTAATTTTATCATAAAAACCCTTTTTCGATTGCTTTGGTTGGCGATGATAGTTTAATGAAAGCACACTCCTTCTGGACCCCCACCGATTCCCATGTATGACATCTATTATATGAATATTCAATATTTCGAAAAAGAACCTTTATTAACTTAGAGTATACGCTAATAGTATATTAGTATATTTCCTTCAATATTAATAGTACATAAGTATTATTTTTCTAGGGTATATGTTAATTATATATAATAAATTATACATATAATTTATTATATGTATACCCCCTTATATACCCCAAATACCATTGTTAATGCTTGATAAAATGTTCATACTAACCAATTTATTTAACACTGGTTAATAAAAAAAAAAGTAGTAACTTTTCTTTTATAAGAGAATTTTTACTTGAAATATTGGTTTAACACGATTAACTGTATTCAATTTTTGTCCAAAATAAAAAAAATACGATAGAAATTTAAATGAAGAATTAATATTATTTAATTTATTGCCTATTATTTTATACTAAAAATAATTTACATTTTTATTTTTTATAAGATTGCTTAATAAAATTTATAATTTGAATTTTATTACTTAGGTACATTATACCACAGACTATACTTTTCATATAGTCTGTGACTGTAATTCTGTCCTATAATAAATGCTACGCATTTATCATAGTAAAATGAATAATTATTCACTTTACTATCTCCCTTTATATCCTATTTTACTAAGCCCCTCACGTAAGCAACCTCTGGAACAATTTTACGGTTTTTCGCCCGTTAAAATTCCCGTTTTTCTCTTTTCGCCGCATTTTTGGTACCGTTCGACGGCCCTTCCGGTCCCGCGTCTTTTCCTGGCGGCGCGCGAATTTTTCGTCGTCTCCGTTTTTTTTTATTCGCGATTTTCGCGATTCCGTGGAACGGAAAACGACGCGAAATAGGGGAGCGCGCCTCCCACTCGGCCGATCGCGTTCCCGCCTTTTCGTCGTTATCACCGCGTCCGACGCCCCAAACGTGTTCGTTATCACCGAGCCGCCGTTTTGTGCGTCGTTTATTCTGTCGTTATTTCAATATAGTGTATTTACTGTATTCGTTTATTAATGTGATTTTGTAAATTTTCTACTTCTACTACTATTGCGATTATATATATATATATTAATCGAAACTCGCCGTTGGTAATTTTACACTGCGATTAACGCAGTTTATCAATTGTCGATATTGTGANCAAGAGGAATATAATAATTCTTTTAGGCGTCAAAATCAATTTTTTGCTAATTTTATCATAAAAACCCTTTTTCGATTGCTTTGGTTGGCGATGATAGTTTAATGAAAGCACACTCCTTCTGGACCCCCACCGATTCCCATGTATGACATCTATTATATGAATATTCAATATTTCGAAAAAGAACCTTTATTAACTTAGAGTATACGCTAATAGTATATTAGTATATTTCCTTCAATATTAATAGTACATAAGTATTATTTTTCTAGGGTATATGTTAATTATATATAATAAATTATACATATAATTTATTATATGTATACCCCCTTATATACCCCAAATACCATTGTTAATGCTTGATAAAATGTTCATACTAACCAATTTATTTAACACTGGTTAATAAAAAAAAAAGTAGTAACTTTTCTTTTATAAGAGAATTTTTACTTGAAATATTGGTTTAACACGATTAACTGTATTCAATTTTTGTCCAAAATAAAAAAAATACGATAGAAATTTAAATGAAGAATTAATATTATTTAATTTATTGCCTATTATTTTATACTAAAAATAATTTACATTTTTATTTTTTATAAGATTGCTTAATAAAATTTATAATTTGAATTTTATTACTTAGGTACATTATACCACAGACTATACTTTTCATATAGTCTGTGACTGTAATTCTGTCCTATAATAAATGCTACGCATTTATCATAGTAAAATGAATAATTATTCACTTTACTATCTCCCTTTATATCCTATTTTACTAAGCCCCTCACGTAAGCAACCTCTGGAACAATTTTACGGTTTTTCGCCCGTTAAAANCTAGATACTAGTGGCGTTTATAAAAATATCATTATTTGTTTGGAGTTGCCATCCTCCTTATCTAAAGTAATATTAACTATTATGGTTATGGCTATAACCAACCGCATGTTTGATAAGGTATCTTAAAATTTTATATTTATTTTATTAAAGAGAGTTTTGTCTTATATAAAAAAAATCATAGAATTATTAAATCTGAATATTTAAATTTATCTTATTGATCAATATTCATTTTTAATAAAAAAAATATATTATTTATATTTATTTAATTATCAAGCTAACATGGCCACAGAAGAGGTACAAAAACAATTTCAACGAGAACTAGACGCTTTTAAACAATGTCAAAAAGAAGTAAATCAATTAGCAAGTATGCGCCAACAACTTGACGGCCAGTTAAATGAAAACTCCATTGTAAAAGAAGAACTAGGATTATTAAAGCCTTCTGGTGAAGTGTTTAAAATGGTTGGCCCTATATTATTACGCCAAGACCATACTGAAGCTAAAGAAAATATAGAAAAACGAATGAGTTACATAAAGAATGAATTGAAAAGAATTGATGATCGAATTCAAACTTTAGAAAATAAACAAGATGAACACCGTGATAAATTAACTAAATTACAACAGCAGTTTCAAGCTCAACAAGAGAAAAAGTGATTTATTTTATTATATTATATTATTAATGAATCTTGAACTTTGTTATGATTAACCTGTTAATAAATATTAACTAGAATGTCATAAATATTTCAACTGTAAAGAAATTGAAAACATTTTTTCTTGCACTATATAAATTGAGGTATATATATTAAATTTACTTAATAATTTACTTTTTTATATATAATTTATAATATTTTTTAACTCCTAAGTCAGATATGTTAAATAAAAATTGTGTTATAATATATTTAATATATTTTAACTAAGACTAATATAATAAAATAATAATAATAATTCTATTATTTTGATGGTGTTTTATTTAAATACTAAAGGCCATTGTACACTTAAATATTATATCCTAAAAGGATTTAAATTTATTAATTTTAAGGATGCATATATAGACAAATAAGTTATTTGCTAACTGAACATAATAAAATTGTCCTTTTTAATTTTAGATCAATTATTAATTAATTAAAACATTTTTTTTTTTTAATGCTGTTTTCCTTAGTAGAAGTGTTTAAACATACAATATCAGCATAAAAATTTAACTTTGTTCGAAAAAACCTTCACCTTCTTATGTACATTAAATTAAAGTATAATAAGCTAATTTAATGAAATATAAAAAGTAAATTACATAATATGTAATTTACCTAATAAAAAATTTGTTGACTTGATTTCAAAGTGAACTCATTAAAGTAAATATAAAAAGAGCCAATATTTGTATCATTTAAATGTATTCTTTGTATACGTTGTTACTAATCTATGCCTTAAGTAAAAGTCATTTATAGGAATCACACTTGATTTTCTGTATTAAAAAAATTATTATTTTTGATAAGATATTATTCATAGTAAAAGTGTATTTAGAGAATTTACATTTTATTTTTTAAATTCATAAAACCCCACTTTTTTATGATTTCAAAAATCTTCACATACATTTGCATTGAAGTATTTTATGAGTGATTTTAAACATTGATATTAAAAATGCTAAGTCCCAATTGTTATTTTTTTTATAATATTCTGAAACACAACTTAAGTCATCCAGTTACAAAAGGAAAAGTTAAAAAATTTTTTTTTTTAATTTTACTTTTTCCTATTTAGGTGTAGCAAAAAGTGTTATTTTCTTATTTGTCAAAAAAAAAAAATAAAATTACATAACAGTTTTTTTTTTGTACATGCATATTTTTGGTCATTGGACGACTTGCTTATCCTCTGTTACTAAAAATCACTAAAACTAACTACCAGGGATCTATAGTACTTTCTACCCTCACCCTTATTCCTCACCTAGGGATAAAAAAATAATTGTAAATCATCTATCATCCATTCTCAATAGAATAGGCAGTTTTACTCATTTTAATTAATAAAAAAAACTATGTCAATACATCAACAGACAATTTATCATCATACATAATGTATTACATATAGTTGATAATTAATATATTCTCTTTTTAATTTAACTTTTTCTTCAATTATCCATTATCAAAGATGCAAATGCAATCTACCAAATTGTATTAAAGCAATTATAAATGGTGATTAAAATTACTGTTGAATTACAATCATTAATAATTACAAATTAGAACTATATACATACCACAAGTTTTGTAGTTGTTTATTAATAATATTATAAAAAGTCCAAATTAGAAAAAATATTTAAAAGGATATATTAATAGGGTTCTATGAGGACTTCTATGTCATAGCGTGACACAGTATTTAATAACAATTATACATACTCATTATCATATTAAAGATATTTTCCAGAAATGTATTATTATTTTTAATAACTATAAATAACTAGCACAATATTAGTTAAAATATTTAACACAAAATCAAATCTAGTTACAATGATAATGTCTAAAAAATGTTATTTGGTTCATATAAAAAAAAAAAAAATCTAAAATGACATATGTACAACTATATTCAATTTCAAAAAAAAAAAAAAAAGATTTTTTCTTTTATCTTAAGAAATTAAGTAACAGAATAATATAATACTTAAATGTTACAATTAAAAGTAATGTAAATAATTGATATTAATAACAAAACAAATTAAATAAACCAGATTCTTATAACGATTTACTAATACAATTATATTATAATTAAAGTATGACTTAAGGAACTGTTTTTTTAAATAACTTTTGGAAAAAACTTCCCTTAGCTAATCCTTTGGATGGTCCTTTTTTCAAATCACTGTTCGGTCCTTTGGCTAGAGATTGTATTCTACTCAACAATGATTTGTTTGGTCCCTTAGCTTTGATTCCATTTTTACAATTACTATTTGAGGATTCTTTAATACTAATAATAGAACAAATAACAAAACAGTGAAACAAGAAGTATATTAACTTTTTTTAAAAATAATATTTAATAAGTAAACAAAAACAGTGTTTTAATGAATATATGATTTCTATAATAAAAAACATGCAGTATCTTAAAAAGTTAGGAAGTGTTCAACATATAACAATTAAAACTTTCAAGATATTTTTGAGCAAGTTAATAAATTGGCTATAATTTTTTTTTAACTAAATTAATTTACTAAAAATAAATTTTATATTACACACTTTTTTTTTTAAATATTTTTAAATACTTTATATATGAAATTATATTATTATTACCTTAATAATTGCCTGTTAGGTCCTTTAGCTAAGATGGTCTTTTTATCATGTATAATTATTTCAGTAAAACTGTTTTCAGACTTTTCCCTATAAAAAAAAATTGATGTTGATTTAAATGGTACATATAATAACACACATAATTTTTTTGCTGGCAAGCTAATAATTTTTTACTAGTTTATATTTATTTAAACAAATTATTTTATAAAAGATTAATTTTTTTGATACTTTCTTCTTCCTTGTTTCCTTACCCAAACATTAAGAAGTTGTTTATCAACTACTTTAATTCTTACATCAATGTCTAATTAACCCTTTTTAGATAAAGATTTTTATATTATATTATTATATTAAAATCATAAAAAATATATTACTATTTTTTTAAATTAACGTAGTTTAGTAAAATATGGAGGGCTCAGAAGCCAGTCAGTGTAAGTCACTAAATATAGAAAATGAGATAATTGGGATTTTTCAAAACTTGTAATAAAATAGAGTCCCGTAAAGGTACTAATAATTTTTTTATTGAGATATAACATACTGAAAAACTTAAATCTAACACAGTATAATAAAAATGAAAGCGCAAGTTATATTACCCAACTCAGTTTTCACAGAGAAGTGACTTACACTGATTGGCTTCTGACCCCTCCATATATATATATCATAACAATATATTGTTTCAATTAACCTTATCATTCATTTATCTAAAACTCATCACTCTTCTATAGTACAGATCATGAATACTTACTTAAAACAATTTATTCTAATAACTGAGATTTGAGAAATATACCAAGAAAAGAAAGTAATGACCCTGACTTTTTTATTGATTCAAAAATTAAGTTTTCCTAGATAAGTTCTTAATTCATTTTTTTTTAGGAAGAGGATTTTTTTTATTATTATGAAATGTAATAATATAATTTAATATTTTAAATGAGAGATAAAGTCTGCTTAGCTATGTCAATAAGGGTGTTTATAAACTTTTATTAGCAAATAGTTAAGGAAAAGACTGTAAAAATCATTTAGATTAATAAAAACCAAATAGTTTTATTTTTCTCTTAATACATTTCTTACTAGCTCCCCCTTGCACATATTTACTGTACAGTTAACTGCTCAAACATGAACCCAAACTTATTATTAGATACTAATTTTTCAATTCTAATATCCATACTAATCATCTTTTCTAAAATCATAACTTTTTTTCTTTTTCCTTAGAATGCTGATACCATATAACTATATTTTATAATAAATTTCTAATACTTATTAATCTCTACAATTTTGTTAACTTATTATAATTTTTTTTTAAGTATAATATGCTCTGTTGTTAACTAGGTTCACAGTTTTAAAAAGAAGAAAATTGGATTGTTTTTATAAGATAAAATAATTTTATATATACGATTTTAATAATTTTATTAATAACTAATATTTAAAATGTTTAAATAATTAATACCCATTTTCAAGGTTGTACACTCCATTTTCAATTTCAATAGCAGCATTCTTAATAGGTTCACCATATGAAATTTTATTTTGCTCGTTCTCATAAGTCTGTTGTTCACTATGATAAGATTCATTTAATTATGTTATGAAGGTACATGATAACATTAAAAACTAAAGGATCATAGACAATTTAAATAAATAAAGATATTTAGATTGTACAATAATTAAATAGTTATATGAGCATCAATATAAGTTATAAATTGATACCTACAAAAATGGTTATTTTGCATAGATATTAATTACAATTCATAATTTAATTTTAACTAATTACCTCAAATAATTCTGTTTTGATTCATTCTCTAAATGATTTTTTAAAATTTGATCAGACAGTGTTTCATTGTAATCAGTGCTCTCCAAAGCAAATATAATAATTTTCTCTGTGACACTTTTATACTTATTTTGCAGTCTTTGTTTTACTAAAAATTAAAATTATATAAACATACATATTATTCAAATGAAATATATATTAAAATAAATAAAATTTATGATAAGTAGGTACTTTGTAATTCTTCAACATCACTATTTTTTTTATTTGGTGGTTTTGTTTCGTCAGATATTATAGGGCAAGTTGATTTTTCATTATCAAACTGGTGTGAAATCTTTTTACGGAGCCAAAATACTTCATCATCATTTTCATTATCATTGTTTATTAATGTCACTCTAGGTGGCAATTTAGGTATAATACTAGATAAATCAAATCCTTTATTAAAACCCATAGTTAATAATCTTTCTGTAGCTTGGGTTACATTGTTGTCAGTACCACAGAGTGTATCTAAAAGAACTGTTTCTTCTACTACAGGAAAAACACTTTTCAAGTACCTAATTTACACAAAAATAAATAATAAATAAATGATAAAATACAGCTGTAATGCTACTTTTACACGTAAAAAAAAAAAAGAAATTCATAAATTAGATATCTCACCTTATAAATAATTACATTAATCATACATATATTCTTCATAATCAAATTATTTCCTATCTTCTAAGTACATCAGACAAATACCAAGAACACTACATAATACTGAAACAACAAAATAAGGTCATGCTACAAAAATAATAAAAATAAATAAAACTAACACTAAAAATAAATCAGCACAAACAATTTGTATAGTTAATAAAATTGGTTTTGTGATCTACGAGTTTATAAAACTATCAAAATTACTTATAAATAAAATCTTAAAGGGTAAATAAATAGTAGGGTAGCCATTTAATAAATATAATAGAAATCAATAAATAAATATTGCAAACAAAAAAACTATTCTAAGGCAAAAATCAGAAATTTACAATCAATAAAAAATATGATAAAAACTACCTCAATTTCATCTTTGGAGAATAATGTGCAGGTTTAGACGAAGCACTTTTAACAGGTGAAGAATTTACTTGATACATAAAATGACGACCAATAGATGGTGGTGTATACGGCCCTGGTGTTGCAATAGGATGTTTTTCAACCTGTAAAGCACTTATTACTACTGCTTCTCTATTATGATATCTAAAATAAATTATAATACTCCAATAATAAATTACTTTTTTGTTAAATATTAAATTATTACTTGTCCAATAAAGATTTTATGTGTTCCTCAGTGGCTGTTGGAAACATTGCACTTATTTTAAATATAGATTGTTCAATGTTAAAAAAATTAATAGGTGACAGATTAGAGTGTATTGAGGCACGACTACTACCAGATGACCGAGCATAACTAATTGCATTAGAACCCATACGAGGACTAAATCTAACAGGAGTCGAGTTTGACTTCAAAGTGATTGAGTCCTGAAATTTAATAGATTAGTTATATTAATTTTTTCATTGAATGTATATTATAACGAATAACAATATAAAAAGAGTGAATGCTTAAATTAAACTTTAGACTATCAATAAAGCCTTTCTTCTAAAAGATTTTTTTGAATTAAAACTAGGATAAATGAATATAAAGGGCCATAAAAATGAGTGCAAGACCACACTAAATTTATTTTTGAATATATTATTATTTTATATAATAATATAAATTTTATTTTATTTGAAAACTTTGCTTGAAACTACATAGTTTATTTTAAATTTTTTGTAATATTTCAATTACCTGATGTATGTGATAAAATGGTTGAGGGGATTCACTCTTGCTAGGCGACTCATTTTGTGTCTAAAAATTAAGATGTTAATAATTACTTATCTTCAACATCTATGTTATAGTTATTAAAATTTAATTAATATTTTATTTTTTAAATACAACACTACATTTGAAAATTTTATTTGTTAGCAATATTTAATATTCTGTAAATCAACACATACCCATTTGACCATTAAATTAAGATCATACATGTAATGAGTAAGTACCTGAATCGATTCACACCTTTCTAACACATCCATTCCCTACTACACGGTAATAGTGGATATCATTACTATCAGCTAATCAGTTTTTATATATGTACATAATATACAACACACAACGTAGCTACTTTAAATTTTGTATTCAAAATTTATTAATATAGTAGTGTTGCTAATTTTAAACAATATTTGCATGTTTTTTTTTTATGAAATATATCAATCACAGAATATTACTGTTTTTTGTATTCTCATTAATTACAAAATTATAATATTTTTTTTGTTTTAACAGTAATAAAAACTTAAATAGTTCCTCAATTAATACTTGTAGTTGAGGTAATTATTACAAATTATACTTTAATTTGTACTAATTACCAATTTTTTAAGTAAAATTTCAATTAGTTGTACTTTTTTTTTTTTTTTTTTTAAATAAGTAGGATTAATACAGAGTATTTGGTGTATGTGATTAAAAAATGAGGAGATTAATGACAATAAAGACGTTATGGAAGAAGTGGAAAGTTTTGAGTATTTAGGATCAGTTCTGAAAAAGAACTGTGGTATTGACGAGGACGTAAGACACAGGATTAAGTGCGAGTGGGTGAAGTTAAGAGAAGTTTCTAGTGTGTTATGCGATAAAATAATTCCATTGACGTTGAAAAGCAAGTTCTATAAGACAAAAGTGAGACCTAGGGATGGTAACAATATATCAATAAGTTTGATATATTGTATCAATTTTATTAAATAGATTAAAGACTTGATATTTATAGACTATTGATGTTAATCTTTCTATATTATCGATATATTGAAAATAAAAATTAATTAAAATTATCTAAGTATGAATAATTATTTTTTTTTTTTAAAAATTGATGATATTTATCATGATTAATGAAACTAAATTAAATAATTCACTAGTAATATACAAATAATAAAAATTAATTGTTTATAATACTAACTTATTAGCTTCGATGCAAAGCTGAGAAGGTATTGGTTTTACTATTAAGGGGAATTTTTTTTTTGTGTCTGTTACCACTTTTTCTCAGCTCTCACCAAACAGCTTTCTTTCAATCATACGTCAAAAGATCACAAATCATATCTAGTCGAAGATATTACCCTTAAAAATTGAAAAAAAATTCCCTCGTTCCCCGTAAATGGGGAAACCTCCAAAAAAATTACAAATTTAAAAATCGCTAATTTTCGAAATTTTCTTCACTAAAATGTGCCGTAACTTTTTCAAAAATGAATATATCAATATAATTTTTTTTTTTATAGATGCTTGATGTCTTTTCCTATCATTTGATATATTTTTTTTGTAAATTTGACCCTTTATCTGCCCACAGAGGGGGATTTAAAAAGACAACTTTTTCAATTTAACTTTTGAAAATGTTCTGGAAGGTCTGACACTTTTATATAAATCTTAAATTAAAGCTAATGTAATATATTTTAATTTGAAAAAAAAATATTTGACCTCTGGACTTGTCTTCATGGTGAAAATGGCTATCGAATGCTATTTTTGTGTGAAAATTCTCGATTTTACTTTTTAAATTATATTTAACTTTATAATGCTATAACTTATTGAAAAGTGATTTTAATCACTGTCAGATATCATTATACTTTATCCAACTATACCACGGCACCACTGTGCCGCGACCCCCCTGTGCTGGATTTTTTACTTTAAAAGGCCATAACTTTTTAAAAAATGTATGGATCCACACAATTTTTTTATGAGAAATAATATTTTTTAATAAACTCTTTTTCATTCGACATACTTTATCTTAATCAGGATATTAATAAGGAACTAGCAGATCATGTAGCTTTTGGAATAATACACCAATTTTTTTTAATTAAACACTATCTAAAGATTTGCATCGAAGCCTTTATTTTTTTGATAGTGATTTTAATCACTGTCAGATATCATTATACTTGATCCAACTATGCCATGTCACCACTGTGCCGTGGCCCCCCTGTGCTGGGTTTTATTTTTTATATAAAGCTTATTAGTTATTATATTTTATGTTCCATGATTTGTTGTATAAATATACTGTACAATAATAAAACATATTAGTGTGGCAGCATAGTGTCATAACAATTGGTACAATTTGTGTTGCAAAAATTTCAATAATTTTTTGTATTTATGGATTTTGTATAATTTTTTGCAATGGGTAAATTAAGTAAAATTTGGTGTCATTTTGACAAAGTTAATAAATTGTCTGCTAAATGTAAAGTATGTGGCAAAACATGTTATATAATATGACGTTTAACGTCTGGCAATACATCTAATCTTCACTCTCATCTTAAAAATGCACAACTACTAAATTAAAAAATAAAGGAATCCTAAAATATTGATAATGATGATGCAACCAGATTGGCAATGTGTTGATTGTGAGTATAATTATGCTATTAACATGACTTAATCTCAAAATAAATATAAAGTATAATTCTATCTTAACTTTTAGCAATTTGACAATCCTACTTTATCAACTAGTGAAGCTAGTCATACTGTTTTGTTAGATGTTCCCCTAAAAAAAAGTGCCAACCTTTAATAATTAATTATTGAGCACTGTGCTCAAATAATTAAAACTGTTTTAATTATGTATCTTTGATGAAAGGTAATCAATTTGTTCCATCAAAAAGCTTATTTTCCAAAATTGGTCAAACAACATCTAAAGCAAGAAACAGATTTATGGGAAAACATTTATCTAAGCTTGTCGTCATGAGTTCTTTGAGTGAAGCAGATTGGTTTTCAGAAGTCTTATAATTTTATAAAAAAAATGTATGTATTGTTTTATTTACATACTACTTTTTTTTTTTAATTTAAATAATTCTATTTTAATTATTTGAAATTAAATTATACAGTGCAAGTCATATAAGGCTCCAATAATAGATTGAATAAATTTAAGTTATGAAGTTATATAAAAAAATTGAAGTACAAATAAATAATCTAATAGTTATATTATTTTAATGCAATTTTTTTTTTTAATTTAAAAATAAAGGGTTAGCCTGGCCTAGTGAGTAGAAATATATTTTTTTGGCACACGGGGTCCCTGTTTTAATTCCCAGGGTGATAATGAGACTTTTTCATTAGCAATGTTTGGTCTCTGCTACATAATACCAGTCCTGTCTACCATTGGCTTAGCCAAGAACCATCATTGACTCCCCAACATGCGAAAGAGAGTCACCACACTTTTTAGCATGTTCAATTTGGGAAGTAGAAGGATGTAAAAACTGATCATTATTAGTGTTAATTTAAGAATAAGTCTCAATTTCAAATAAAAATAAGTGATAACCAAACTCAAAAATCTAGTAAATTTGCACATTGAAATTGTGATTTTAATTAGGTAAACTATTTTTACTATTATTAAAAGACATGAGGGTATGTGTTCATTAAAATCATTTTTTTTAAATTTTTCTATCTAACATGTTATAATGGTGTTAGTGATACACGATTAAAATAGTTTTTCTTTAAATATTGATATGTTTTTGATATATTGATGTATCAATATCAAACTAAGCTCCATAAATCATTAACGATAACCTATAAGAAAAATATCGATATTGGGTCACTTTTTGCCATCCCTAGTGAGACCAACTATAATGTATGGTTCAGAATTTTGGTCCGTTGACAAGTGAATAGAGTAGAGAATGGGTGAAGTGACTAGAGAAGATAGAATAATAAATAAACATATAAAGAGGAGTATTGATGTAGCATCAATCGTAGATAAAATGAGAGAAAATAGAATTAGATGGTTCGATGAACAGTTATGGAATGAATGTTAAAAGAAGAAGTAAAGGAAAACCAAGAAAGAGTTGAAGGGATGTTATTGAATGTGATATGAGGATGGCTGATATTTGTGTATAGATGTGTTACATAACAAAATTATAACTATTGTTATCTATAAACAGAAAATTATGAAATTAGAAGTAAAGTTTAAATTGGTTATTAAACTGCTATACCCGAGGAATCATAATATTTTAATTTATCGTTAATTGTTATTATTGCTTTTTACTACAAGTTTTGATTAGTTAAAGAAGTACTGAAAAATCTTCAGACGAACTTAGGTGGCTTTGTCCTTCACACCTTTTCTATATTCTAATAATGGCATTATAATGTACTCCTATAAATAATCACCACCTGTTAAAAAAAGTTCTTGCATGATCAAATTAAGAAAAAAAAAGATTATTTATCAACTAGAAAATATTTTGTTCCCTTTCAAAAAAATGTTAATCTGTTTACATTTAATTATTTTACGCTTAAAATTTTTATACTTATCATTAAATAACAACCTTCAAGCTTTAGTAAAATAATAAAATAAAATATTTGGTATTCCAAACATCTGATATCATATCAAATTACCGTGACCATACATCTTACACATGAAGATGTATCCCATACATCTTACACATGAAGATGTATCTCATACATCTTCTACTACATTACTGTTAATATTTTTATTTCTATTATAATTACTTTTATCAATAATACTATTATATATCAAATGGTATAGTTATTAACTATTAAAATCTTTATTTACCTGGATTGTCAAAGGTTTGGACATTTTATAGTCAAGATATTTGGTATGAGAATCATCTATTTGAGTAAAGTAATCAAACAGGTTACATCTATAAAAGCAAAAAATTTATATTAAATGTGTAAATGAATTATAATATTTAAAATAAGCAATAAATTTTACGTTTTTCCAGGTTTAGAAATATTTGTTGTATAAGGCCACCTTAAGTTGTTTTTTGTCGATTCTTGCACATCAACCATCATAAAAATTTACAAATCCAAAATTTTTAATTGATCTGTGACTCTAACTACCAATTTTAAGAAAAATTTTTGAAATTGTCATTAAAAACAGAAAACAGCTAATAACTAGTACTGATTAATGCTTTTGTTGAACTGCAGTAAGTTCAACGTAATCTGATAATCGCCATTTTTCAAGGACGAATTCTGCATAAACAACATTTTAACAATCCATTACATTGTTGCAAACAGAACAAAATTAAAAAATAAAAGTAAAAGTGTTTATCTTACGTAATGAAAACATAAGAATTGCATTAAAAATAAATGTTTAATATAATAGATACAGCATTTTTTAGTAGTTCTGGTATTTTTGTGTTGATATAGTCAGTTTAAAAAGAAAATTTTTAATTTTGCTAATATTTATTATTGTACATTGTTGACACTGTACATAGACGCCAGCTGATATTTAAACGAACCAATGGTCGTACTTACCTGCCTGATGGATGACAAGCCCCCTCCACTTGCCTGACAGCATCTTCACCCTGTCGATAATATATTTTTCTCTCCATTTTAATATATTTTTACTGTTGTTCTCTTTCTATGGCGTCCTATGACAATATCTCTTTTAAAATTTAATATAATCACAGCTTTGTGTCACATCGACCTGTACTTTAAAACATTTTATAATTACATTGCCGGACGGTAGATATTCACAGATAATCGTCATTGATGGTAATGCATGCGAGGAAACTTCAAAGGATTAGCGATGGGTAAAATATTCAACAAATTTGTAGTCATGAAGTATTTGTAAATAATATTATATTTCATTAAAATTGTTTTCTATTTGCAGGTATTACGACAAAAACCCGTCACATCAATATCAGGTAATAATTACATATCGAATGCAATTACCTTTCAATTAGTTATGTCCTTCATATTATGATATAATCAACTAATATTTTGAAGTAATGATTTTTAAATATCATATTTAGGCCAAAAATTTTAAGTGCTTATAAATTTAAACTTTTTTCTTAAAAGTAGATTGATTAAGTATATTCTGATCTTTATTTGGAAATAGTTTTTAATTAAATATTGAAAAAGCATTAAGAAAATTAAATATTTTGTGGATTGGTTTGTTTACATTTTTATGTTAAACTTCAATGATTTACAGTTTTATTTTATTGATAATGTATACTTTCAACAGATCTAAATGGTTGATTTTTGTTTTTGAATAATCTATTTTCTTAATATTGATACGTTAACTGGAAAAATGTTTTCTTACATGAAATACTTCTAATATAGTATATTGATTATTTAAATTTATTTCTCAACAAAGATTTTTTTTTAAATAATTTTAAGTTTTTCTGTATAAATAGAAAAAATAGTAATTTTTTTTAAATTAACTTTTATAATTATTCAATTGTTTCATAAAAACATTATATTTAATTTAAGGTGTACAATTAGAAAACTGCTAATGTTTTTTTGTTGGCTTAGAAAGTTGCTAATAAAATTAATATAATGTATGATGATTGTATCTTATATGTATAAAGTTCTAGCTATGTCTTCTGAAAGTTTTTGAAAGTTTTCAAGAAATTCTGGGTTTCTTTAATTTCTGGAATTTAGGTATGAATCCACAATAAACAATTAATAATTTTGTACCATAGAAAATCATAAATGTTAAATAAAATGTAACCTGTTCAGAACTTAATGTTAATTCTACTTAAGTTATTGTAGATTCATTTTAGTAATATTTTAGTTGAAATGCTATTAGTTTTGCTCTCCCATAGTTTTTTCATGTCGGTATACACAATTATTCCCCTTCGACTAAATTTATTTTAATCAATTATATTAAAAAATATCATAAAGTGTGTATTTGAAGTTATTAATACTATAAATTTAAAATTTTTCCCTTAATCTTCATAATAAAAAATTACAACTGTCATAAAACAATGTTAATATATTTATACTGTAATTTGAAATGACTAAAATGGATCACTGGAAAATTTTTACTGATTATACTACTTTAAACCTTAGTTAATAGCATACTATTTTTGAAATAGAAATCATTAATCATATACTTGGAGGGATTTTAAAATTCTTAGGCAAACATTTAAAAATGTTATACATCGAAACAAAACATCTACATTATTTAAAATAAATTAAATTATATTTTATTTTATTTACAATATGATTAAGAAAGAACAATGTTTTGACGAATCATAATCACCTTCTAGAATCAAAAATTATGTAACTTTTAGTGAATGTTAAATTTGTTTTAAGTATGTATTAAAGTGTTTTACAACAGTGATTTTAATTATTGTTAAATATCAATTAATATTAAAACATGCCTCAACTTTACTATTCTGAATCCTATTGTACTTAACTTTTTTTATATTAACTTTATATATTTCATTATCACACCTAAAGTAGTTTAAAGACAATTTTTTACTAATTTAAATTTTTGCTTTTTTTTCTCAAACAAATAGTTTATTTCTTGTAGTTTTAACTTATCTGACAGTTTTTTCTTAATAGAATCATCATTAGTTGGTTTGGTTCTAGAAATTTTTATCAACATTGAATATAGAAAATTTAGTTCATCAAATTTTAAAAATGTCACTGAATGTGATATTAGTAATTAAACTCTTATAACTCTTTTAATTGAACAACACAACATGTAGCAGATTAATATTTAATAAAACTTACAATCACAGAAAACTGAGGAATTTAGACTTGATTTTTTGTATTTTAACATAATTTTATGATAAAAATATTTATCATATTTAATTAACTTCTGTTCATTACAGTTATATGTTTCTTTTATATTATTTTGGAGGTTAACGTAAAAGTAGTGTAAGTTATATTAACTGCAATTTTAAGAGCAGAAGGGTTTGTTAAAAGTAATAAAATTAATTTCAGAGTAATGTAATCATCAAGTTTATTCAATATTTTAAGAAGAGTTTAAAAAAAAAAAAAGTGAAAACTTTCATTTTTTATTCATTTATGTTTTGACCTGTAAAAGTGTCACTGTTCAATACAATATTTTTGAAGGTTGAGACTTGACTCTGTTGGTGTTTTATAACGCTGTAAATAATTTCTTGTGAACTGTGAGAAGACAATATTTCATCCCACATATAAATGAAATCTAAGCTTCTGTTCATCTTATGATATTCCATATTGTACACACAAATGTTACATGTGTTATATCCTACAGAAATAGTAATATTAAGAAATGATGACATTGTGTTAAAAGTATTATATTGTTTAGATTGTTCTGTGTCATTTCTTATTGAGGTTTGTGTGACATAGCCTTTTTCAGGGCTATATTTTAATGTTCTATTGTTGACTACTTTTTTTGTTTATCTTCAATTGATGACATATTTTGCATAGGTATTAGAAGAATGAAATTTTGTGCTTTTGATTAATGTAATTAATAGGAGAAAAATTATGTATGTAATGTGGTTTCACATTATGTTCATTGTTTCTTCGGGTATTTTATTTACTGTTTAAAATTAAAACTATATTAAACTCAAAAAATTGATACGCTAATAATATCAGTATGTGTTTAATAATGGTAACATTGTTTCCAAAATACATATCTGCGGTTCTTTTAGTTATTATTTGAGTTTAATATTTTTAGTTTTAAATTATTAATATTTTAATATAGTTTTAATTTTAAATAATATTAGTCACAATCAAATTATGTTTATTGTAATTAATTACAATAAAAAATCAATTTTTATTACATTTTATTTACTGATACATGTTTTTATTAAAAAAAGCTTACAAACTACAATATCATTTTCTTTAACTTAAAAACAATAAATATTACTTATTGTTTTTTTGGTTTCTTATAGAATCTGTGAGGTAATTTGTTTTAGGACTTTTATAAAATTAACCCATGCATATAGGATGTTTACTAAGTAAAGAAACGAGTTTCTTTTGTTCTCATTATATATATCAATTGATATGTTTCTTTACTTACTAAACATTGTGTATTAAAAATGTCCAAAAGGTATTTAACAAATTTTCCTTAATGCTTTATGTTTTTCTTTTATGCATTCTTTCACATTTACAATTACTAATTTTTTTCTTGCTGATTTCCTCGTCATTATTAATTTTGTAAACTTGACTTTTGTTGAGATAATTTTTTTTAATAGTCAGTTTTGCTCTCGTAACCAATGTTTTCTGGTCTGAGATTTATCTTCTTTATCAGAAATATTCTAATATTTTATTTTCATGAAAATAATACATTGCTCACTAGTTGTAGGGATTATAAGTTACAAATGTTTTCGAATTGTTTATCTATGTATAAGCCTTAAAAGAAATGCATACAGCATGTTTCACCTAATTTTTTTTTTTAACTTGACCAAGAGAAAGTTGTGTTTAAGTCACACTATTTTTTCTTTTACCACCAAAATTATCTTTATATTATAGTAAAATATTACTAATAACAAAATATTTTTCTTTGTGGTATAAAAAAACATTCAACTTTCTAGATATATTCAAATTTCTGATTTATATTTACCAAAAATATCATTTATCTCTTTTGTATGCTAGAATAACTATCATGTTCAACATTTTGACCATATTTCTTATGTTTGATAGTTATATCTTTTAAAATAGTATATTTTTATTCTGTTAGTGTTAAAAAGTTCTGGGCCTACTGTTAAATATTTTATTGTGTCCAAAACTTGTATCATTAATTCTTGTCGTATAGTAATTAATAAAAAAATATCAACTCAATTTATTTTTAAAATAACTATAGTAATCAAGACAACTGTAACAATTCATTATGGTATATGTCACTGAAAAGTATAAATATGAATCATAATAACAATAAATACTGAATGATTTTTAGTATACATTTTTTATAGAAAATCTGTAATCAAATTATACTTCTTTAATACTACTAAAATGATGCCCTTGAAGTATAAAACATCTTGTAGTAACCCACATTCATTCTGTACGCTAGCCCTATAGATTTGGTTTTTACCCTTAACTGGTCACGTCGGGTCTATTTAAACGTGTTATTTTTAGATTCTGCAAATTGAGAATTATTCCATATACATGTAATCTCTTTTCATTTATCTGTCAATGTTGTTAAATCTATAATTAATCGTATATTTATTATTATACCAGTTTAGTCTTGATATTGATCCGAGACGATCGTTAGTGCGCTATAGTTTTAAGACGAGTGACCTGACACGACCTTTGGTGTACTGCAGACAGTCAGACACATGATTGTTTATGTTACCAAATTTATATCAATTTTATTATTTTATAATTATGGAAAAGTTTATCACAGATAGTGAGTTAGAAGCAGAACTTTTAAGACAAGAAGAAGAGCTATTATCTAATGATAATTCTGAAGACGACGAAGATTATGTTGAAGAAAGTGAACATGATACGGAATCAGATTTAGGTACGTCTTCAGACGATGACGGAGTGAATGATGTAAGTGAACCAAACAGTTTTTATTTTAGTAAAGATAAAAAACCAAATGGAATAAGTAACCAATAAAAGTGGGTGGTCGGACGAGGCAATATAATATAATTACTCATTTACCTGTTGTGAAAGGTCTAGCTAAAAATTCTAAAACACCACATGACACGTTTAAATTATATTTTGATGAGAAATTAATGGATATTTTAGTAAAAAATATAAATATTTATATTTTGAAAATACAAAAAAAAATTATAAAAGAGTTACAGATGCATAAGATAATGATATAACAGAATTTACAGCTTTAATTGGTTTATTATTGATGTCTGGCGTTTATCGAGCTGCTCATTTGAATATTGAAGAATTATGGGATGAAGATGTACCTTCAATTTTTTCTTTAGCAATGTATTATAAACGATTTTTATTTTTATATTGTTGCATTTGTTTTGACAATATACATACTAGAGAAGAGAGAAAAAAAACTGACAAACTTGCTGCTGTCCGTGAAATACTCTATATGTTTGAGAAAAAGTTTGAGCTAGCATATACATCAGCCGAATATACAACAATAGATGAGCAGTTAATTCTGTTTAGGGGTAGGTGTCCTTTTCGACAGTATTTACCAAACAAGCCAAAAATATATGGAATTAAAGTATTTTCGTTGGTAGATAGCAAAACCTTTTATTTGTTAAAATTTGAAATATATGCTAAGTTACAACATGATGGTCCTTATAAAAAATTAAACACGCTTTTTGATATTGTTCAACATCTTGTTGATCCAATAAAGGGTAGTGGAAGAAATCTTACCACTGATAACTGGTATACAAGTATACCTTTGGCAAATTGGTTATTAGATAATAAAATAACACTAACAGGAACTTAATGCAAAAACAAAAGAGAAATTCCACCTGGATTTCTCCCTTATAGAAAAAGGAAAGTTTATTCAAGTATTATTGGATTTACAAAGAATATATCTATGGTTTCATACGTTCCAGCAAAATCTAGGTCTATTGTAGTTATCTCCACTATGCATAATGATGATTTAATTTATGATGTCACTGGTGAAAAGAAAAAACCAGAAATATTAACTTTTTAAAACACAACTAAAGGTGGGGTAGATTCATATGATCAGCTTTGTAGCAATTGCAATGTTGGTCGAAGGACCAGAAAGTGGCCGTTAGCTATATTTAATAATTTTATAAATGTTTCTGCACTAAATGCATATATTATTTTTAAATATAACATGAAAGAAACAATGGAAAGAAGAAAATTTTTGAAAAATCTTGCCAAAAAACTTGCACATGATCAAATAATTAGAAGATGAAATAACATTCACATATTATGTAGTCTTAAACAAAAAATATCGATTTTTTTGAGTAATCAAAGAATCAATAAACAATCAGTTACAAATGAAGTCGACAGCGTAAGAGACTCTAAAAAACGTAAAAGATGTCATATTTGCCCAAGCACAAAAGACAATAAATACACTGATATTTGTAAGGTATGTAAACAAAATATTTGTAAAAAACACTCGGCAATTGTTTGTTTAAAATGTGAAGAAAATATTTAAATTTATCAAAAATATTATACATTATATAAAATACTACTAAAATTATATTGTACATTTTTTATACTTAATATTAAGTTCATTATAAAAAACAAGGAAAGCAATTTTTTTTATGTATACTTATTATGTTAAAACTATTATTCTTATTCATTAAGATTGTATCATTATTTTTTTCAATACACAAGTGAAATACAAAATTTATGAAATTAAGTTATTTTTTATTAATCAGTTTAATCCAAAATTAAGTAAAACTTAAAAAATCCAAACTAAGGGTCACTATGACCCGACGTGATTGTCTGTAATTATTCGATAGTGACTAGTTAAGTGTTAAAAGAATAGAATTTTTTTTAATTTGTTTTGTCTAGAAAATTTCATTAAAAGTTAAATAAAAAAAACTTATAATTATTTAAAAATTATAGTTTTAATTTGTTGTTAATCAATTTCAGAATTCCAAATATTTAGTGTCAAAAAATTCTAGTAATGATCAAAAGTATGGCAGTGTCAGGGGAAATGGTACATCATATCCAAGTCCAGGTCGAAGTAGCCCATCACGAGACAGATCATATTCCAGTAAAAGTTCTTACCACTCTCAAAAAAGTCATAGAGACAAGGAGAGAGATTCCCGAGACTATAAATCTAGGAATAGTGATAAATATTCTGGTGAGTATAATTATATTTTTGTTTCAAACTTATTATTATTATTATTTTTTTTTTCAATTTTTCAGATTACAGTAGATCACCTAAAGATAGGCGAAGTAGGGATGAATATAGAACAAACCACGATCGGATTACTCCTGAAGTAAATATGTTTAACTCATTAATATGATCATAGATTTTGCTCCCACGCCTTATTTACTTTATTTAATACTTTCTAGTACATATTGTATTGAATATTGTTATACTATTAGTATTATAGCTATAAATACATATACAGAGTGACTTTATATCATAACCCACTCAATTATCCACATAGTAAAAATAAATTAATAAAAACATTTTTTTTTTTTTAATCTTTAGTTACACATTATTCTTCAATTATGTAATGTTATGTATTATTAACTATGTAATGCTTTTTAAATTTATCCCTGACACCTTGTAAGGGTCTCAAATTTGTTTTTTTTTTTTTTTTTATGAGAACACAAATTTTGAATTTAAAAAAAATGTTATATTTTTAATTTAATAGTAAATGACATTTGAGTTTTTAATATAACTTTATTTGCTTATTCGATATAAAAATTTTAAATTTTTGAGTTAATATACATGGGGAATTATAAATACTGGTGGCTAATTGGTTTTTTATGACTGCTATCACAGTTATGGAGTGCCTATTGACAATTATGACTATCAATAGATATGCTTTCTGTATTGCCAGTTGGTATATTTATAAACTCATAACAATGCGCCTTACTACCATTGATAATAAATGCTGTGTATCTGCATATATTAACATCAAAATACATTTTTTTAAATGGAAACCTTAGTTATTTCCCTTTTATTTGATATACATTTTTGAAAATCTAATCTTTTATCTGCCCACAGAGAGGATTCAAAATAGTAATTTTTGAACAAAAATTTAAGTTATTTAACTTAAGTTTTGAAAATGTTCTCTGAAATACTACATTTATTACATTATTAAATACTAAACTTGTGTTTCATACTACAATTTAAAAAAAAAAAATTTTTCCCGACGACATCTCTTATTTACAAATGGCTGCCCTAGTTAAAAAAACTTGCTATATTTGTGTTCAAATTTTATTTTATTTATTTATTTTTAATTACTTTATAAGAGTTTGCCATAGTAATGAGTTCACAGATTTTTATAAAAGTTACATTTTATTTAAATTTAAACTTATTTTGATTATTTTACCTATTCAAAGTTAAGATAAGTAACTTTGAACTTTTGAATTAGGTTAAATAGTTCTTTTTATATATTTATACATGTAGTTCACAGTGGCTGTGCCATGTATCATACAGTTTTATAAACTCTAGATACAAAGTTCAAACCTCATCAATGAAAATAACTTTTTTTTCTTAATTCTTGTTTGAAGTGGAAAAAAATCAAATTTAATAATAATAAATGAAATTCAATGAATATCGAGGACCCTCTTTTTTTTTTCTTTTAAAAAATTTATAGATTTTTATGTTTTATTATTATTTAATTAATCATGCTCTGTCTCTCATTATCTTTTAAATCTATATCAACTTGAGTTTTATTAATTAAAACAAAAAGTTAACTAGATTTAATATTAAAAAATGAACTAATGAAGAGAATGATTGGTCAATAACAACTTTTGAATCATTATTTTAGATATTATTATTACTATATGTAATCAGACCCATGCTCTTTTTTAATCCTTCATTTTGAAATGTTAATATCTTTAAAAATACGGCTTCAAAATTTTTTATCTATATAGCCTAAACCATCACTTATTGAGAATGTAAATTAACAAATCTGATTATTTTTCATCAATTTTAGGCCAAAATTAGGGATACATTGGTTAAATTGGTCATAAATTGAGTGACTTTTTAATTTATATAAAAAATTTTTGCATAAAATACCGTAATGTTATTTATTTTTTATTTAGATAGTATTAAAGGGGTATCCCTAAAATCTCCTCTTTACGAGGTGATTTTTTTTTTCAATTTTATTGATTTACGACTTATACGTTGCCACTATGCTACTAGCAATATTTCATCTTTTGAAAATTATAGAACATAGGTTACTACTAACAATTGAAAAAAAAATATTGCTATGTGTTATACTTTTTAGATTTATTGAAAGATATAGTTAATCCTATCATATTCTATATATACATGGTAATTTTTTTAACATTAGAGCTATCGCGGTCTCCTCCAAAAAAGGAGGTTCCTCAACCTTCTATACTCCGGAACGGGTGGTTAATCCGTCGTTGGAGAGACGAATGGCAAATTCAATTACTGAACTGATCTCTGGTTCAGTAAATAAAGCCACCAGTGACTGAGTTTTAAACCCGAGGCAGTGCACGTCAAACACTGCCGCATAACCGACTCGTCCACACTGTCCCTCTTTTCTTTTAAAATAATAATTTTTTTTTACTTTTGTTAGCTAGATATGTATTTTTATTTATCTTTAACTTAATTGAATGAACAAAATATAATAATTATACAAGGTGGGAAGTTAAGATTTCGTTATTTGTTTTATAGAAAATGGTAGTTCATTCAGTAAAATGGTCTAATTCATCAAGAGATTCGCGGGATTCTAGAGAATCAGGACAACGTAAAGTTGTTCATAGTTCTTGTCAGGTAAATATACTCAATATTTTTTTTTTTTTTTTAAGATAGCGTTTTCCAATTTGCTTGAAATTTTAAATTAAAAAAAAAAAAAATTCTAAAATAGAAATCTACAAATGAAATGAATTACTAATTGTTGTTTTTTAATTGCATTGGTCATAGTAAGTCCTGTGAAATAATAATTGTACAACATTTTTAAATTTAAATAGTAAAAAAAAAAATCTAGTTTGAGTATACTATTTACAGAAAAATTTATTTAAAATTTAAATTTCACAAATTATGTAATTTTGTCACCATGTGTGTCATTTCTTAATATTATTGAAAAAAATAGAAAAAAATTATTATTCTCTTTAAATTTTACTACTTGAAAATAAGTAGTATATTAAAAAGAATTTATTTTTCAAACTTAATAAACATTAATATATTTTTATTATATATTCAAATGATTAAGCAAATAATAGATCATAACAAAACATTCTGGTGTAGGACATACAAATAGAATTATTAATATTAATAGTTTTTCTATTGCCTTTTTTGATTAATACATTAACTAGTAAATAGTAAACCTGATAAAATTAATTTTTTTTATTAATGCTTTTTATCATCAATTTAGAGTAGTGGCAGTAGTAGTAATAACCGAAATTCCCGATCTGGTGAGAGTTCTGTTACCAAAGTTGGTGATTGGTCAGAACACACAAGTTCTTCAGGGAAAAAATATTATTACAATTGTAAAACAGAAGTATCACAATGGGATCAACCAAGAGAATGGTTAGAGGCATATCCTGTATCTCAGCCTACACGGACACAATACCACCATGGTTCGAATTTATTTTTTATTTTTTACTTATAAAATTATTCTTCTTAATCTTAATTTTGTCTATATTATGTATAATTTTATTTGTGTAAATATTTTCAGACAAACATTCCAATAGCTCATTAATGCGTTCTTCATCTATGAGTAATCATGTGAACAAAATTTCTCAACAAGTTAATTGTTCAAGTAGACAATCATCACATCACCAAAAAGATACATATTGGAACCAAACACGAAGTAATAATCATACAAATGTGTCCCAGTCCCATCATGTGCCTGAATGTAATATAGATAGGTTGGACCAAGAAGGAACCACAATTATTAATTCATGTATATTTTTTAATTATATAACTCAAATAAGTTTGAGTAATTTTAAATCAATTGTTCTGGTAATTTTTTTAGGCGATTCTTCTCAAACCCAAGACATGGAACTGTGTAGTGGTGATAGTACTCCCACTTCAGAAAAATCATATCAATTACCTTCTGTGACTACCCAAAGACATAATTCTTCTATTTCACAGTCACAGGTACTTAATTTTTTTTTTTTTTAATTTTTATATTAATTATTTTAATACTATATAAATAAATTCAGATCAAAATTGGAACAGAAACAAATATTTTAACTAATAATGATTCATGTGAAAGAACAAATGTTGATTCTGGATCAACTACACCACCATTATCTATTATACCACAAAATTTAGGTGATTCTTTGTCAACAACAAATAATAATACTACTGAAAGAAGCCCTCCTACACCAAATTCAGATACTAATGTCCAAGAAAATAAAGGTAAGAATTTTTTAATAAAAAAAAAATGCAAATGGAAAAAGCAAATGAAGTTAGGGTAAAATAAGTTTTAATGAATATTAAAAAAAAATGTACTTAAAGACAATTTTCAACATTTTTAGAACACTCTTAAACTAAAAGTGGTTGATTAAATATACCTCACTCAACATCTATAATTTTAAATAAAATAAATAAAAAATTTTCAAAATTTAATAGTTTTTTACTTATAGAAAATTAAAGAAAAATTATGTCCTATCTTCCTCTCATTTTGTAAATTTTTCAATCTTAAGAAAAAAATAAAAAATTAACAATTACTTACAATAATGTTTAATTATAAATTTTAAAATTAATGCCTTCTTTTTATGCAGGTAGCCCTGTAACAAACCATACAGAACAAGTGGTACAAACAAATGCTGTGATTTCTTACCGACAGCTTGGCTCTACCACAACTCCAATTATATCAAATTATGTTCGTGATGACTTAACATCTCATGTGAAATCATGGCCAGCTGATATATTAGCTAAACAAGTAATTTTAGACCTAATTTTACAAGCTAAAATTTATGGTAACAATGTGAATTGTCTATATTATGAAATTGAAATCTATAATTATTTATTAGATTTATTTGATGCTAAATTAGTTTAATGATTTTTTTATTCAGTCACAAATCTAAGTGATAGCTTAACGATAACCTCCATTAATTATACCTAAGGAATCATCTTAAAAAATTTTTAATTTTCATGTGTAATAGTGTCAGTTAATCTATATATTTGGGGAATAAATACATTGATTAATCGATACAACTGAATATCAATTATTCAAATTCATCAATTATACTAATACTATTGAAACATCAATTTTAGTTGTTATAACTAGAGGTATATTTAAAAACTTGAAAGAGATGGAAAGGGCATAAAATGTATATGTGATTACAAAAACAGAAAAACTCCTGACATTTTTTGTGAATAACCAGTTTTTAAATATGATAATCGTGTAACTTGGGGGGAATATGATTAACTGTTTTTTTTTAAGATTTGAAGAAAAATTTTGATACCAAAAACTCTTATTTTAATTCAGTAGTTTTGTTTATACAGCATTTTGAAATTTGTTAAATTTTGATTTTTTATACAATTTTTCTCTGATATCAAATATTAGTTCATATTATGTAAAATACGGAAGTCAACACTTTTTACATTATTCTGGTAACAATACACAATTTATTTTTCATGAAGTTTTATATCAAACTATTTTAAAGGTAGAACCATTCAATTAACCAGATCTTTTAGAATTGAAGAAATTTGTCAAAGAGTTTTGAACAACCTTTTGCTACTAAATATAATTTTTAGCAGACAAAGTGAACTACTAACAGTTACTTTTAACAATCGTATCAAATATGGCTTCTAAACAGACTTATTTATTATTAATATCATTAGTAACCTGATCAGTAGAGGTAGCTAAGGTATACTATGAGCAATAAGGTTGATCGCTCAACACTCACAATTATTAAGTTACTAAATAATTTTTGGTACAATCTAAGTTTCTTCACCAATGTGCAAAGTTTTTCACTTTTTCTTTAAAGCCAATATCTCAACATGTAAATTAGCATTTTCAGCTTTAAGCTCAGAGATNATATCTCAACATGTAAATTAGCATTTTCAGCTTTAAGCTCAGAGATTTGTGAAAATCACAAGGATATGCTTTAATTAATCTCATCGAATGAATTTGACAATTTGAATTTCTGCGTTAAACTTGATTTGTGTTAGATTTGATCTTGCTTTTTTTTTTTTGCAAAGATTTATGGCTTTTAATAAGTCATCATTTGAAATTGGTAGTAAAGAAGATCCAGATTTTGTTTTTACTAAATAGTTAGTCTAAAAATTCTTAAGAGAAGTATGACATTTAGATTTAGATATACTTGGAGTATTCATTTTGAAGAGTATTAAAATAAAATGACGGACGTTGAAGTTTACAAAGTTAATGTGACTGAATTTAGAAACAGGAAAGCAAAACTTATAATTGACAAGTAACAATCCAACTAAGTAAAATAGTAAAATTACTTAAAATTCAATGTCTTGAATTGGGAAAACTGGAACAATGGAAGTTTAATGAAAATTAGAAATAAGACTATAAAATAAATTTTTTAATTTATTTTAATTTGAAAAATAAGGAACTGTCTCTAAATAATGACAACAACATTGAACACTATATGTAACATATTAAAATACACAAACCGATACTGTTAATCATTTTAATCTATAAACTCAACAGTATGACAATAAACTGCACTACATTTACCTATTTACATACTTATATTAATATATTTTATGCATTACACTTGACAGAACCAAAAAATTTGACTGTCCTACAAAGTTAACTGTTATCAGAAGTTTTACTGTATGCTACAAATATTTCATTATTTATAAAAAAAAATTTCTCTTATTGTCTAATAAAATTCTTACCAATTAATTGCATTTTTTATATAAACACTAGCTTTAAAACTTTTTGAGTTAAATATTTTCAATTTTAAATACTTTTATTATAAACATTATATTTGTGTATTTGTTTAGGCGCAAAAATTAAGTGAAGAAGCTCATATTTTGGGTAGTGTCCATTGTTCAAGAGTGTCTGCCGAATTAAAATATGCTCGGTCTATTGTACGTTTAACTGAAGTACAAGCGTCTTTATTAGAACATAAGTAAGTATTCTTTAAGAAAAATTTAAATTAATTTTTTTATTAATTTAAGGCTGATAGTTAAATTCTACAAGACTGTAATAAGGCCAGCTATGATGTATGGTTCAGAGTGTTGGGCGGTTGATAAGAGACTAGAGCAGAGAATGAGTGTAGCAGAGATGAGAATGCTTAGATGGATGAATGGAGTGACTAGAAAAGATAGAATAAGGAATGAGCATATAAGAGGGAGTATAGTTGTAGCATCAATCATGGATAAGATGAGAGGAAATAGACTTAGATAGTTTGGTCATGTTATGAGGAGAGAAGAATCAGAAGCTGTAAGAACAGTTATAAAAATTAATGTTGAAGGAAGAAGAGGTAGAAGAAGACCAAAAAGAGATGGAGGGATGCTATTGAATGCGATTTGAGGACAGCTGATGTGGGAGATCGTGCCAAGTGGAAGTATAGGATAAGGGTGGCCGACTCCAAGAAGTTGGGATTAAGACGAGGAAGAAGAAGAAGAATTTTTTTATTAATTTAGATTGCTATTGATAAAATGTGAATAAATTAATTTTAAATAATGTCCAATTGATAGTAATGCAAAAAATGAATTATTAGTGGTGTATGGAATTTTTGCTTTATTTTCCTATAATTTTTTTCTTTAGAAGTCTATTTTTGTCACTATATACTCATAGATGAGTGACCATACAAGTTTTTGCAGCAGCAAAAAGCATCATGCTTTTAATGTAGAAAATAATAGATATTCACAATACTCAACTTTTTTCCTAGTATACATAGGTTGACTTTAACCCAACTGTATTTAACTGGTGTTCAATCAACCTTTCGGTTAAAATAATATTATTGCCCAAAGACAATAATGTTATGTATATCACAAGGAAATTTTTAATAAATACAATAAAACTAAATATTTTACTTTACAGTAACAGCCTGTATAGTTCAATTTAGTGTCTTAATAGGAAAAGTATAAATGTTAAAAATAATGAAGTCATGACTAATACTATCCATTTTTTAACAATTTACTGTATTGTATCTATATTAAAATAGTATTGTCATAATGCTAGATTTTAAGGTATAAATTTANATCTATATTAAAATAGTATTGTCATAATGCTAGATTTTAAGGTATAAATTTAATTATTTTTTTATTTCATAAAAAAAATATTAGAATGGACTTTTTTTTTCCTGTGAGCCAACTATCAATATCTTATAGTTTCTCTTGATTTAAGTTCAAATGTATTTATTGATTTGTTAAATAATCACCAATAATTTAATTATTTTTAATTCCAGAGTTTTATTTTTACAACAACAAATTAAAACATTAGAAAAGTTAAAATCTGAAAATTCTTTTATGTGTGAAGGTGACGAAGGAGGGACTATGTAATATTTCAATGGCAAGTGTTTTTGTTACTATTATAGTTGTGTCAACTTTACCAAGAGTGACCACCAACTTTTTTGTTATGTTGATTTTTTTTTTTTTTTACAAATTTTTTATAATATTGTTTTAAGGTCTCCCAAAGACCAAATACTATGTTCCAATTATTAGGTATTTGGTAACCTTAATCATACTGATGTTGAAGCTACTTTCTTTAAATGTAGTAATCAAAGCTTATTTTTATATTAATTCAAATACAAGTACTCATTAAGTACTATGATAGTCTTTTTATGTCTAAATCTTTTGAAAGTTCACATAGATGTCATTTCCTTTGTTAGTTTATGAAATCTGTGCAATATTTCTATTGAAAAATTTGTTAAAAACTAAGGTTGTGTAAATGTGTAACCCAAATAGTAGGTTAATTACTGTACACATAATTTTTTAAGGCACTGAATTATATATAAATATAAATATTGTCTATTTATTTGTGTAAATAGAAGATGCCATTTTAATGAACAATTTGATAATTACTGGTGTTAATTATACAATATTTTGCTAATTAAAATTTTTTTGAAAAATAATACAAATAAATAATTAGTAAATACCTCAGTTTCATGTGTTCAGATTAATGTTCATTTTAAATTGTTAATTGCAATTTTATTAACCAATGTTTATTAAGTATTTCATCCCCTCCAATTTGTAATTAAAATTACTCTTTTAAAGTTTTTATGAATTGATATAATAACTATTATTTGAGTTTTTCATATTCATTTAAAGAAATATTTTGTCCTTTGACTATCATTATCTACCTCTAATCATTTACTACACTTGGTATTATATTAAATGAGAGTAGGCAATTATGTAACATAGGAAAGATGATGAGTAAAAATTTGATAATGAATTATAAAGATATATGCTTAGCACGTTATTGTTCCTTTCATTATACTCGTATATATATCAGGTTTTGGTATATCGAGCTCACATAGTTAAGCGTTGTAGCTAATAAAAGTATTATTGTTAAGACATAGGAAATATTCTTCATTAAAAAAGTAATTACATTTATTTTACATACATTTATAAATATTTTTTTATAATTTATTTTACTATTTTTAAAAATATATAAATTTATATACGCAAATAAATTATTTTTGTTTTTATTATTTTTTTTATTAATTAATTTAGAGTTAACTAAGGTTACTCTTGGTGAAATAAACCTACATTATAAATATTATTAGTAATAAAAAAAATTTAAATCATATTATCTGTTACTAATCAACCCCATGTTCTTTTTAGATTCTAGGCCAAACTCCTAATGCAGTTTTCTATCAGATCTCAGAAATATGATAACTTAATACAATGTAAAAAAAAATATGTATATATATTTATACATGCATTTTATTGCATTTGAATGATCTTATAAGAAACCTAGAACTTAAGACTGATACAAACGATGAAACAAAATTTAAATGATAGTTGTTTTCAATTATAATATTGAATTCATTTAACTTTATTTAATAAATAATTACATTGTTTGGATATTTACTTCATGAAAACTAATTACAATTAGAAAAATATGAATGATTTTATATTATTCTTATATTCCTATGTTTTAACAAATTGGAGTTGTTGACCCATTTCTTTTTCTACTATATAAATTTGTTATAATCAAAACTAGTTTGTTTAAATTATTTGTAGTTGAACCATTTTTTATTTCTACATTAATACTATTTTAATGTTTTTACTGATATAAGTAAAATTTCTAGTAATTCTCAAAATTACTTTAAGTAATTTATTTATTTTAAATTTATTATTAACAGTATTAAAATAAATTTCAATTAAACTTAGGAAAATTTAAATGTTTTTTTCATATTTAATTTGTCTAGTCTATCATAATTTTTGAAAATCATCAATTCATAAATTATTATGTAAAAAAAAGTATTTTTATATTAAATGTGTTTCTTATGACTAATTTTTATAAACAATAAAATGTAACATTTATTATTTAACACGGAGATTCAGGCTTTTATTTACTAATGAGTTATTATAATACAAACCAACTCTTTTATTTATCTGTTAATAAATTTTTTTAGTAAATTGATTTGATGATTTATTATTGATTAATGAAATTAGATAAAACTAAATTTCCTTATGATTAAACTAAAGATAATTGAACACAAGTTGTGTTATTCAATTATCAATATGTTGCAAACAAGTAATTGCTTAATTTTTGGAATATTTCGTTATATCCTAGGTTAATTATCAAAAGTCACATATTTTAAAAAAAATGTGTAACTTGTGGTAAATTATCTCTAGTGTACAGATATAGTTAAGCGTGGTGTGGCGCGGTGGTCACACTAGTTATTGACAAAACTCTAGTGTTAAGCCGCGCCGTAAGTGAAGGGATGGGTGACCATGCGTGCGTTTCCACGGTAGCGAAAAAAGCACCCAGTGCAAAAAGCAACGGGAAAACACTGCACTTTAATTTCCCCAGGAAATACCAATGATATTAACCAACCTAACGGTTGTAAAAAAAAAAAAACAGATATATTGTTTCAAATTGTGTAAAAAAAACTAAACTAATATATAACTATACTAAAAAAAACGGTAGCACAGTGAGTGGGCCGCGGCACAGCGTGGACGTAGCATAGTTGGGACACGCAAAGATGATATCTGATGGTGATTAAAATCACTATCATAAGAAACGTTTTGATGCAAAATTGTGGATAATGTTTAATTTTAAAAAGTTTATTATTCCAAAAGCAACATAAACTCTCATTTTCTTATTTGTATTCTGATTAGAAGTTAGATTTAAAAGTATAATTTATGAATAAATATTTATTATAACAATTAAATCGAGTATAAAATTGATATTTAATAATTTAGTATTGTAATTTTTATAGAGAAATTATAAAAAATTAAAAAGTAGATATTACTTCTATGGCAAACATGTATAAAAGTTGTAATGCTTGATGCAATACTTTTCAAAAAAAAAAAAATTGTTACTTATAAATAAATTTATTGGTGTATAAGTAATTTTCATAATAGACCAAAATATACTATTCTAAAACCTTTTTTGTGACAATTTCAAATCTGCAATTAGTGTTCACACATGGACTAAATAATAATAAAATTCTAATTAATATAACAAATATAATAATAATCAATATTAATTTGTATAATTATTAATAATAATCAATTAATATATGTTAATTAAAAAAATACGTAACAAGCAGAATGTATTATGTGCAGTATATCAATATAAATAGTTATTTGTACACCAAGAGTTACATAGAATTGATTACTAAGATTTTTATTTAAACGATTTATTCCTAAAAAAATATTGATTTTAACGAAATTTTGAGTTTTCCTTAAAAATTAAATAAGTTTCTGGTACATATCAATCGAAAAAATAGGACATTTCATTCCATATAAAATGTTCTATTTAATGATATATATTCTTAACTTGCAAGTAGAGCTAAAATTGTGTTGAAAAATTCAACATTTTTTAAATTATAAATTTTCATAAAAATCAACTTTAAAGGATCAAAAAAAATAAATGAAAAATGAATTTTGAATTATAATTTTGTACAGATTATTTTTAACATATTAAAAATCAAAACTTGAAAAAAAATTGTTTTTAATTAATTTTTACGTGTTTTTGATTAGTAATAATCAAAAAAAAAAACCCCAGCACAGGGAGTCGCGGCACAGTGGTGACGTGGCATAGTTAGATCAAGTATAATGATATCTGACAGTGATTAAAATCACTACAAAAAAAAACGGTTCGATGCAAATCTTTAGATAGTGTTTAATTTTAAAAAATTGGTGGATTATTCCAAAAGCTTCATAAACTGCTAGTTCCTTATTAATATCCTGATTAAGATAAAGTATGTCGAATGAAAAAGGGATTATTAAAAAATAGTATTTCCCATAAAAAAATTATATTGATCAATACACTTTTCAATAAGTTATAGCATTATAAAGTTAAAAATGTAAAAAATAAAATTGAGAATTTTCACACAATAATAGCATT